TTATGGCCATTAGCTGCAATTCCACGCTCTTTTATGGCGAATTTTGTAATTTGCTGACGGAATGCTGAACGTAAAGTAAAACATTGAAAGTCTCCCACGTAATTGACAAGGGTGCAAGGATTTATAGCATATCCCAGCCGGATGTTGTTATTCGGAGATTACTGGGGAGGCCTACCAGTCCTTTTTGGGCTGAACTTTGGAAAACATTCTTTGGGAATGCAAGAACAATTAATTATTTTTATGTTGTTGTTCTGGATTAGGATTTGTTAATGTAGTCAATATATTCTGGAGGAGCACACATATATTTTTCAGTGATCCGTGATTTTTGAAATGTGATATAGACATAGCTTTTGCGCTTTAGTCTATCAATATCAGTTTTATACCATACATTCTGATAAATTTCCCTTTGATTTACGACAGCCAGCTTATATCTGTGTGTGTTTCGTCAGATCTGGGTCCGAAATTTGATATTTCCAAAGTAGATTTTTGAGAATGGTAAAACTGGGGCATTTAATTATCTTGCCACATACTTTCGGGCGAATCACTCGAGCGGATTCCATGCAATGTTAAGTGCCGTCGCTGCCAGACTTGCCACAGTTGCGAAGGAGAACCACCCCCACCCCCCGGTTGTTAAAGGCAGAGCGTGACAACATTTTTAATTACATGCCACACAGGCAGCAGGGAACAGCAACAGGCATTCAAATATCAAGTACGACAACAAAGCTTGGAAATATTTTACGCATTTTACACGCACCCTCCCGAGTTTAACTTTTGGCAGTGTGTTCCAGTGTTTTTTTTCTTTGGCGCTTTCATTAAGGATATCCATACGGCAGTAGGCACGTGAAAGGGGCAGTGGCAGGGGGGGGGTGAGTTTTTACGATTCGTGGGGGAAAATTGGGGGCAGAGCAGCCCTACCGAATGCAGTCCGAGGCACGCGCCGATGTTTGCCCAAAACCACATGGAAATGGTAACATGAGCGCACAGAGAGAAATATTTTATTTAATATTCAACATTTGCCATGCCTACCATTTGGGGCAAACAAATTCATTTTTACGAATTTGTAACTTTGTGGGGCAAAAAATAAAAAAATTTCATGCATTCAAGAATATTTAAAATGCAGAGATCGAACACCGAAATAATTACTAGAATTTCGACATTTTTGACAAAAACTCACTGCACAAATCAACGATATATGTAGAATAACCCGAAATATGAAAAGAACCAATATTTATACTTTTCATTATCATTTCAGCTACTTTTCTGACCGTGCACCTGCAGAGACAGAAGGCATATGGAAATTCCGAGAGCAGGGAAATGGGGAAATGGGAAATGGGAAATGGGAAGTAACAGCACACACGTGCTAAGCCCGAGTCAAGGGGAATCGATTAAATTTCTTTTAATGCCCAACCATAAATTTCTTTTTCGAGCTTCCTTTTCCATTGTCAACGACCTTTCAGCGAACGAAGAACCCAAAGGAGGGGCAACCAGGAACAGAAAGAGCAACAGAAACTGGAACACAAACAAAAACAGAGACGGAGCCCGGAAAAGAAGATAAAATAAAGTAAAAATAAAGCAAAAATTATGTCTAACGTCACATTGCAGAGTTCAGCTGATTCTTTATCAGCGTTAAGTGCCCGGGATCCATCTACCCCACCCCCACTGATTATGTATGCCATTTGTTGTGTGCGAGTGTGGGCAAATGGCAGGACTAAAAGTTACTTCATAGCCACGGACATCCTTTCCCATATGCAACCCTTGTCAATCGCAGGATAAGAAACCGTTTGCGACACTTCAGACGATCGGGAGATAAGTCTATTTAGTTTTACATGTGAGTTAATTAAACTTTTTATTGGTCATTTTTAGTTACGTTTTCCACTGAAAATAATTATTACTCAATATGAACTTGCTCTATTCCTGAAAATAGATTTCCCTGACTACCTGGCACCAGGAAATTGAGCTTATTCAAGGAGAGATGAAAGTGATGCCTTAAGCCAGGATTATATGAGATTCTGCAAAGCTGGAAAATAATAATCCTGTAATAAGCCGATAAATATCTAATGTCCTTGAATGGAAGCGATTCATTTGAGTAGTCAAGGAAATCGAACACAATAGTCGCCTTAGCTTGAAAAACTTTAGTTTATTTCAAGGCGAGATTAGAGTGATCCCTTTAACCACCCCACCCCCTTTGGGAGATGTTGCAGGGTATCACCCACTTCGATTCACACTGTCACCCATAACGCTTCGCTGGCGAAATGAGAGATTTGCGAAGAGATTTACGCACAACACCAAAATGAACTTTTGTGTGTAAATTTATGTACAGTTTCCTAGCAGGGGCTTAAGTGATGGGGAAGGGGAAGGGGAAGGGGGAGCAGGGGAGGGGCAAGGAGAAGACCTAGCTCGAGCTAAGTAACTAACGCCATTAGCTGCTTAGTTTTTGGCCCTCATAACAACCGGCTGCTCCCAAGCATTTGAAGCTATCTAGGCATTTTTATTGCTGCATTCCTCGGAACAAAGTCAGAACATCAAAACAGCAGAAATCATCGCTTAAGTCAGCTTTCCTTCGCTGGAAGAGGAGTGGAATTACGTTGGATGGGATGTGGATGGGATGTGGATGGGTCCTAGCCTCCGCCATTGTGGCCCAGCATTGATTTTTGCACCGAAAGGCAGTCCGCAGGTGGAATCAGGGACAAATGCCGAGATTGAAGCAGAGATTAAGTTGCGGAGTGTGCCTGTAAATAGAAATAAAGCGCTGCACTTTAATCTCCGAACGCAGTCTACTTTCCACACATTTGTACGCCCATTCCCCTCGAATGGAACCTCCCACAGAATTGTGATTACATTTGGCACATGAATATTCAATGAAATCGTCTGGCATTATTCACCAGAAAATAAAATCTAAAATGGTCGTTGTCTTGCCCCTCAAAATACCGAAAGTCAATGGGCCTTAAAATGGGCTTTTATAGCTGCCGATCATAAAGCTTATGCTGCACCTGATGAGTGGGAAATTGGATGGATATATCGGATACATAGTGTCCCTATACTTCAACTCTTCTCGTCAAAGAACTCGCCCTTCTTATTTATTAATTAGAACCAGACTAAGCCGCATTTGTTGAACGGGTGGGTGGGTGTTTTGGTGGTCAGTGTATAAATACGTCTTGGCCAGGTCAAATTGCGAATGTATTTGACCACAAATACCTATATACAGTCGGAAAGGCAAATAAGTGGCCAATAAAAATATTATTAATACGCCAATGACAACACACACTCACACCACATGACTTTGCACGGAGAAAAACGACTAAACAGTTTATTATTATTATTTTACTTTGATGGCACTTATCAAAATTGAATGTTTCAACGCATTAATGATGCTCCCCATGCCTGCTCCCCCATCATTATACCAATGAGATATAATTTATTTTTCTCTGTGTGCTTCCTTATCGCCGTTGATGTAGCGCCATCACCATCATTCAGGCTGATGGAAATGGAAATGGCCTGGGAAATGGGGCAAAGGCGAAGGGAAATTAGCAGAAGCGCACATCAGCCATCAAGAGCAGTTGGGTGTGTTTTAGCCATAAATTTATTAACTTAGTGTCACATTTATAGCCCCATTGCTAACCGCCAACATCAGCCGCAGCAACAAGAACAAGGACGGACACGCTGGAAAGGGACGATAGAAAAAGGACCGGAGGGGAGTCCTTTAAAATCAACTTGCAAATTTGCTGACCGATTTCTAATTGATGAGCCATTCAGTAATTGAGCGAGTATCTAGGATAACATATCAAGCGGGGAATTCCCATGGCGCAACAGCTGCAGGAAGTTATTTATTGGGTGAAAAAATGCTTTAAGGTCTCTGGAAGTCTTTTAATGAAAATCGTTAAATAATAAGAGTGCGTTATGTGTTTTTGTTGGCTTAAAATATTTAATAATTGGTATAATTTGGAGTGGCTAAATATGTGTTTCGCAAAATTCAATTAACGCCAATCATCAATATAACATTATTGACTGATATAATTATAGGTTAATCAATAAGAGGTGCGTATAATGATTGTATTAAAAATAAAGTTGTATCAATTAGTATGCAAATTTTGCTTAAATCTATAATAAAATGAAATTTATCTATTACAAATATATCTGATTTCATAAATTTTAATAAACATTAGTTATTGGTATGATAGTTTTGAAACAGTACTGTTAGCTCCTATTGACCGAAACCGAAAATTGAAATTAATACCAATATAGGACAATACTAATATGTTATTTTATATTTTTTTAATTATAAAACATTAAATAAGTATTTTCTTTTTTAAAACTTTAAGAATGAGAGTCATCGAAACCCAAAATCAAATTTAAATTTATTATTACAAATTTGTAAGTTTTCAATTATAACGGATTTTTCACTAAAATTTTAAAATGTACCACTTTTTGTTTATTTAATATCAATTCTGAGCACTTTTACATACTTAAGATGAAATGGTTAATTAAATAATATTATTTTATTGATGAATAACCCCCTTGAGTTTCACAGTTTTTCGACTCTGAAAACTAAATGTGAGGTAAATTTCATAATATTGAAATTTGATTTTATTTTTCCGAGGAAGGTTCACTCCCGAGGAGCAAATTCTTCCGGGATTCCTCCACGGATAAGCTAAGCGATTTGCGCCTAAGTCCAGGTATACTTAAAGTAACTCCGAAGTCCAGGAGTAGGAATGCCAGGACTTGGCTCATTAGTCAAGTTGGCTTAGTCGGACTTAGTCGAACCGCCCCCCCTGGGGATTCGGAATCATTAGACCCGGGGTCATGCACCTGTTGTGTGGTCCGTGGGCGCTTAGGTTGGCTCAGTTCGATCGGATCAGGACACGTTATCGCCCCGCCCAGCAGATGTGCCGCCGGAATCAATTTCCCACCGTGCTCCGACCATATATGTACATATAGTGGGTGGGTGCGATAAACAACAGTCACCAGCAAGCAGATAAGCACACACAGAGAGATCGACTTACATTTACGATTGCAACTGTCGGTGAAAAGGCCTTCTGGGTCAGGCCGCCCAAAACATGGGGTACACTCAAAAAAAAAAAAACAAAAATAAAACTAAACAAATGAGCACGACGCGAACTCGGAATTTTTTTGGGGGTTCGGAAATCGTTCAAAATCCAACTGAATCGTAACTGTCTTTATATGTCCATATATATATATATATATATGGATCCACCTCCACCTCTGAGCAGGCTAACCGACAGCTTCGCAGTCTCGCGACCAACTGAAGCCCGAGGAGTCCTGGCAGCGGCATTTAAGCAGGTCCCACGTCGCTGCCCCAGGAGTGTGGCCTTCTGGGGGGTGAAGGGGGGCTGGGTTGGTGCTGGGGCGGTTTGTCAGTCGGTCGGTGGGTGGTTGGGTGGCGGTCGCAGTAAGCCGGCAGCACTTTGTAACGGTTCTCGACAACAGCTGATGGGGAAAGCTCAGTAAGCAGCTTTGTCTCAGCTTTTTGCATTCGTCAGCTGGCAATGCCCCAACCAGTGAGCTTTATTCCGCTCTCACCTGTTTACGTACGAGCGTGTGGAGAGCAGACAGCGATAGTTTGACAGCTGCCCCAAGACCAGGGGTGCCAAAAAACGTGTGACGAAATGAGGATAGAATTGAGAATACCCTTTAGGGACCTATTTTTCTGATATATAAAACAGATGTATTCGGAGTTGGCACAGAAAATCTGCAGACACTTGAAATACTAAAATTATGCTAAAATATATATTTGAAAATTCAGAAGATTAATGAATAAAAAATAGTTTATACTCTTCACAAACTGTTTTTATATGCTTTTTTAAAACCTGTATCGACTTTGTTCACCTTTCTGCAAATTCGGAAAATGGCTTAAAATTACCAACAGTTGACTTATAACTTAAATACAATATTTAAAGGCAGAATAACAGAGAATTAAACTGAAAACTATTTTAAACCGATTACCGAAAGTTAAAACCGGAGGTGTGGTGGCAACTTTTTATAAATTACAATAGAGGGCGTGCTTTAAAAATGTTTCAAAACAAAATACAAAATCTTAATGCCGATAATTGGAAATGCTCTGTCTATCATTGAAATTGAAGAGCACAGAAGATCATCCGAATATTATATAGATTCCTACTTTCTTTGCGCACCACATTAATTGAGGAGGTCCAAATCTTTTCCTGAAATTGCCAAACACCAAGAAGCAATATCCGTTCAAACTAAATTTATTGCAGATCAAATGACTCCTCACACGCGGTTGGCCGGCCACACAATACCCTCGATGTAGTCCAGGAAGGAGCTCACTCGCGTGTAGAGGCCCGGGGTCTTGGTGGCGCAGCCGAAGCCCGCGGAGATGACGCCCAGGATCGAGTAGACGCCGTCCACCTCGTTCGTCTCCAGGATGAGCGGACCCCCGGAGTCGCCCTGGCAGGCGTCCTTCACCTGCTTCTTGTCCGCCGCACACAGCAGCGAGTCGATCACGCCCTGCTTCAGGGCGCGGATGGTGCTCGGCTGCTCCGCGAAGGATGCATTGCACTTGTCCACGGGCACCAGGTCCAGACCCGCCCGCAGCAGGATCTTCGACTTGGCGCGATCTGTATGGAGATGGTGTTAAATGATCTATTCAATGCTCGGTCCAGAGGACTCTTCGCCACTTACTGGTCACATTCATAACACCCCAGCCGGAGACGAAGATCTTCGAGTCGATGGGCGGACTCGTGGGATCCGTGTAGAGGCAGGCCGGACGGATGATGTCGGACTCCTTGGCATCCTCTTCCAGCAGCAGGATGGCGATGTCGTTGTACTTACTGCTGCTCGAGTAGTTCGGATGGATCATGATGTCAGCCTGTGGGTTGAAGTTAGTTAGAGTGTTGGGAGAGCGGATAACTGGGAGTCTCGGCGATCCCTTGGCCACCCACCACATTGATGTCCTGGAAGCCTGGCGCCGGATTCTCGATGGCTATTGCGCCCAAGCGGACGAAGGACGGCGTCGTGCTGTCGCTGTTGACGCAGTGGGCGGCGGTCAGGACGAAGCGACTGGCGATCAGCGATCCGCCGCAGCGGAACTCCACCGTCCCGAAGGTGTTGTATGCGATGGCCGCCATATGAGGGTAGACCCCGGCGTCCACGGGTACGCCGCCCAGGATGTGAACTGTTATAGGCCTTTCGCCGGCCCGGATCTTCGTACAGGCTGTTGGCGAAGGACAAAGGCATCAACATCAAGAACGAGATTATTTAAAGTTACTTAGAGACTGGCCTAATTGATATTGGTTAAATTAAATGGCCTAATTGATTGTTAATTTAATTTAATTAAATAAATAAATAGTGCAAAAGATCAAAACTCATTAAAATAACAATAGGCATTCTGGTTATAATTATCTATAATTTCTAAGCCGGACTACTCTCAATTGTTCGTTATTGATTTTTAATAAAAATTGTTTATACTTTTAAAACTATTTAAATTTTATAAAGATGTTTTTCATATTAAATAGTTTAAAATAATTTTGTAGCCGAGTTGTTTAAAAATTAGACTTCATATTTCAAAAATTAATTAATTGTTAAAACACATTTTGTATTGTTTTACTCTTTTTGTTTTTAAGTATTTAAACTGACTCGTATTTCCGGATCGTGCTATAACAGCTAACTTAACTGTTGACTTTAATTTTATTTTATTTTAAAAGTATAAAAATAAATAAAAAGTTGCCGAAAATTCTGGGCACATCTGAAACAGATCAATATTCGTAATTACTGAAGAATTCGCGGTACTATTTATATTTTCCTTAGGTTATCTTTTGGTTGATATGTTTAAAAAGAAAAGGGATAGAAGCATGCAATTCGCTATAAAAGGAATCTAAATACTAAAAGTCCTACAGGAGCTTCTAAACAAATTTGTCCAAGAAGGAGACTCACCTGCCACCGCTGGTCGCTCCTTTTCCGGAACATTGACCCGGGAGGGACTCGTGCTGGGCGTCGTCATCCTCGGACTGCGAGGACAGAAAAAGAAGAATGAGAGCGGTTATTGGGGTTGGCTACGATCGAATCCGCCCGAGACAGAGACTGCATGCGGCTCCCTGGCTGAGGCCAACTGATGTCCATGCCAAAACTAAGCTCAGACAAACCGCGACTCGGCTGGGGCAAAGTCCAGATCATTGCTGGGCTCCTTCCAGGGCTCCTTCCAGGGCTCCGGTTCCGGTTGCGCCTCCAACTCCTTGTCCCTGTCCTCACCCCGAAATCGATAGGGCTCGAAAGGATCCATCACTTTCGTGGGCGTGGCTGAAGGTGGAGCTGGAGTTTGGGGTGCTGGTGTTGGAGTGACTGCTAATTGGGGTACCACTTGCACTTCCCGTGCCGGCTCGATCTGCATTCCCTGCTCCCGCAGCCGATCGTTGACCAAGTGTATGAGATTATTGTTATTATTTCGATTAGGATTTCGATTTGGATTTGGATTCTGGTGCTTAGGGGGTCGCGAGTGGGGCAAGTTCAGCGGCCGGTTCACAATCCGGGGCTCGCGATTTTCCCAACCCCACTGTGGCTCCATCCAAGATGTCTGCGTGGGTGGAGTTTTCGGAGGAGCTATGCCCCAAGCACCTACATTCTGAGTGGGCATCTTCATGGACTCGTGAGTGGGTCTCCCCATGGCCTCGTGGTTGGGCATTCCCATGGCCTCGTGGGTGGGTCTTCCCATGGACTCGTGGGTGGGTCTTCCCATGGACTCGTGGGTGGGTCTTCCCATGGACTCTTGTGGTGGTCTCTTCATGGACTCATGAGTGGGTCTTTTAATAGACTCTTGGCTTGGCAGTTTCAAAGACTCGTGGGTCTTCTGTGGCTTGACCGTGGTGGTGCTGAGCAGCTTGTTGAAGTCGAAGAAGTTCTGATTCTCGTCCAGCCGAGATTCCCGTGCCTTTGTCCGTTCGGTAGTCGTGGTCGTGGTCGTGGGCGGCAGGGGTTTTGGTTCTGGTTCTGGTTCTGGTACTCGATGTGGTTGTGGCTGCGGAAACGTGTTTCGCTCGGAGCTCGTGGCAGGGACCTCCACATCGGGAGCTCGGCTGTGGGAGTGAGAGGCGTTAGTCTGGCGGAGGACGCCGGGAAGCAGTGGGGCATGCAACATCGGCGGGCACAAAGCGCAGGCGGGACACACAGAGGCACACACACAGAGGGCAAACAGGACGGAAAACACGAACGTTGACAAGGACACTCAGCTTACTCAGTGGGACAGCAGGGGTCGATGGGGCAGCAGATGATCTCCTCGCGTGCTCCGAAGCCACAACTCGGCACCTGGTTGGTGGACAGGGCACCCTGCCTGAGGTATCCCTCGATATTGTCACAGGCGGAGGAGGCCCGGCAGATCCCCGGAATGTCCGCCTTCACCTCGCACGGATCACCCTCTGCAACGAGAAAGGGCTCAAGCTGGGGAGGATCCGGGGCACAACCATATATAGTCTGCCTACATACCATCCCCGACGGTTGACTGCACCGCGGTTGCGAGCATCAGGAGACCCAGAAGGAAGTACCTTCTCACCGACACCATCTTCAGTCAGCTGAAATTCCCGGAGACGTTAGTGAATCCCAAAACCTTATCATCGCGAATCGAACTAGAAAAACATTTCTGCTGTGACAGGGAAAGCCCTCCCAAAAAGCACGGAAAACGACTGAGATCTGTTTCGTTCATAAGCTTGCCTTTCAGCTGATTAAACTGAACCTGCCATTGACCCACTTAAGATTTGTTTAATGCGTAAACAAAAGTATTTCATATTCTATTCTAAAAAATTGTAGACTTCACTCCAGGCTCTAACCGATTCTAAAATCTTTCCATTGATGGTAAGCCAGCGGAAAGTTATTGTTAGCTGATTACGAGAATTTCACCAGGTCAGATAAGATGATTCACCGGGGGGGCTGGGATTTTACCACCGGCTAAAGATGTCTGCCGCCCGATACCAAACCTCTTTTGGTAATTTGTAGTTGACTTGTCACTGATAAGAAAGAAACACCTCACAATTAGGGTTTTTAATTGACAAGTCGTCAATCTGTCTGGAACTCGTCTTAGGGTTTTTGTAACGAATAGAAACTGAGTTCTGTTCAAACAAGCTGTTCAGCAATCAATGCAAAAATTTCATGACATCACTTGGACTCATGCCTTTCTCGCTTACAAGCCAGTGATTTCCTAATATTGTGTCGAATGTCAGTAATAATCAGCTTCCGGAGTAATTTTCCCTTTGTAACCACGACACAAACTAATGTGGAGCATGCAATATATAGCCCCACCCACTGTCCACTGTCCACCATGTCCGCCTTATCGAACGCACCTTTGACACGACCTTTTTTCGGTCTCTGATAAGGGAATACGTATTCGTATCGATGATGTTTATTGAGTGCGTCGAGAGCACTTTGAAAACGGTGGCAATCGGGCACGGTATGGCACGGCGAAAATCAACACAACACAACAAAATAAAATGAAACAAGAGTACCGAGCGAATCACAAAAGAAAATAATAAAAAAAAAAAAAATAAAGAAAAAACACCGCAAAAAAGCACACCAGCAGAGCCAATAAAGCTGAAAACCGGTGGCTATCGCTGGGCAAAACAAAACACGAATGGGCTGGTTTTCGGGGCTGCCTTTTATTTCTGACCGCTCAGCAACGCATCGCCCAAGCAACTGAAGCCCAGGTTGGACTGGAGCTGGAGCGGCGGCCAAGAAGCGCCGGGTCCGGCAGCTGATAGCACTGCCAGCACCCAGAGCCGCTCCTCTCCCGCTGAGCGGCGAACCGGTTTTCCCCTCCAGCACTTGGCAGAATCGCAGAACGATCCGTGGCGAACAGAAGCCAGCTCACAAAGCACAAAGGCAGCCTGTAATTAGCAAGTGGGAATCGCTGAGCGGAGACTCTAGACTGCAGGATACCTAGTACAACAAAAAAACGTTGGCAGATTATGGAGATTATTTGCATTGATTGCTCACAGAGTGCTCTCTCTTCTGTTTCAGAAATCTCTTGCAACCAAATGCAAATTGAAAGAAGTTAAATCTCTTTTATCCAGAAACCTCTTTGAAGACCAATGATACAGCTTTAAAAAATGTAAATTAAACAAACTAAGCTAGTTTAGCTATCTTCAATGAACAGAAGACAACATTGTAACTGAACAAATTTTATTCAAATTGGCTTGATTGGATTGCGACGCACTTAGAGATCTTAGAGATATGTGTGTCGGCCACTTTTGGTTTACGGTCTACAATTCCCAGAAGAGGTCACACCCTATTATCCGGCCAAACGATTTCCTCGATAAAGTCCAGATAGGAGGTCACTCGCGTGTAGAGGCCCGGTGTGACGGTGGCGCAGCCGAATCCCGAGGATATGATGCCCATGATCGTGTAGATGCCGTCCTGGACGTTGTGCTCCAGTATGAGCGGACCACCGGAGTCGCCCTGGCATGCGTCGGCCATCTGCTTGTGGTCGATGGCGCACAGCAGCGAGTCGATGACGCCCTGCTTCAAAACCCGAATGGAGCCGGGCTGCTCCGCATAGGATATGTTGCACTGATCCAGGCCGACCAGGTCCAGACGCGCTCGCAGCAGGATCTTTGAACGCTCCCGAGCTGCGAAGGTGGGGGGGGGAGGGGGTTGATTGATTGCCACAAAATAAAGGGGGCTCCTACTCACTGGTCACGTTGAGAACGCCCCATCCGGCGACAAACAGCTTGGACTGCGTCGGCGGATCTTCGGGATCGGTGTGCAGACAAGCGGGCCGGACGTTGTCATTCTCGACCACGTCCTCGAACAGTTCCAAGATGGCGATATCGTTGTACTTACCGCCCACATACTGCGGGTGGATACTGACGTTCCGCTAAAGAGAAGGCATTAAGACGTGAGGAGCTCGATGGACCTGGTGCGTCTTACCACTGGAATATCCTGGTACTGTTGGACCGGGTGCTCGATATTCACCGCTCCCAAACGGACAAAGGCCGGCATGTTGATGTTCACACAGTGGGCGGCGGTCAGGACAAAACGGCTGGCGATGAGCGACCCACCGCATCGGTATTCGGTGCCGAAGGTGATGTACCCGATGGCCGCCATGTGGGGGTAGACACCAGGATCCACGGGAAGGCCACCGACGATGTGGATGACCAGTTGGTTCCCACTCCTCCCTTTCCTCTGTTCCCGAATCTTCTTGCATGCTGTGCAGGGAGAGGAATTTAATAGATGGCCCCAGAGAATATCACCTGTTCCTGATCTTGATCTTGATCCTACCTGCCACCGCTGGACGGTCCGTCGTCTCCGTGGGCACATCCACACGGGGCACATCCACACGGACGATGGGGTCGCTCTTCCTTGTCGTCGGAGAAGTGCTTGTACTGAAGGGTTCGAAAGGAAAGTAATGTAGTCTAAGGTCCAACCGGAACCCACTCGGGGATTACCCATTTCCGCAGCATGGTGTGGTGGGGCAGCAGATGATCTCGCCCCAAGCGCCGAGGCCACAGCTGGGCACATCGTTGAGCCGCAGGACTCCCGAATTGATGTAGCCATCGATCAGGGGCTCACAGTCCTTGGTGGTGCGGCAGATTCCGGGCAAGGTATCCGTCACCTTGCAGGCATTGCCCACTGTAAAATTGGAAGGAATGGTGATGTCCTTTGGGTGGCTGGGCTGATTTCTGCACTTACCCTTGGCAGCTGCATAAACGGAGGAGCAGCTGGTCAGCAAGAAGGTGGCCAGAAGAAGCATTTTTCCTCTGCCGAAAGGGATCACTGCCATCTAACAAATACGAAGAGGAGATAGTCATATAACAAATGAAATCGGCAACAAAGACAAAGCAAATATGTATATTTACATATTGCAAGCTCTACAATGAGATCGCCCCTCCGCTGATTCTATTAGACCTGCCATTGACCGATATTATTATGCTGATGCTAAAGTTTAAAAGTAAGTAGGGAAGTTCAAGGCCAAACTTTTGAAGATATTATTTCACCACTTTACGGAAAACAGAAAATATAGACAGGTGGGATCGGTTGATTCACCTTTTTTGGCGCCCGTAATCTCTGTTCTGTCAATCATTTCTAGGGGTATTTATAGCCTGATATCGAAAAACTTCCTAAACTATTTCAGGCGGGGATTTGTTTCCGATAAGGACAGCCGCTATACATTTGGATGGAGCTGTCCCCAAAATATGTGTAGTATAAGGATCTTAAAGACTATGTGATCATTTGCGTCATTAAATGAGTTATGGTTACTATAAGTATAATTTTGTCATGGTAGTGTTATTTCATTTATACCAATCACACCTTTGACACGATCTTTTTCCAGCCTCTGATAAGGGAAAACGTTGACTTATCGATGGTTTTCGAACACTCTGAGTATGGCAATCAGTAACAAAACAATAAATCAAGCAAAACACGAGGAGCACAGCAAAAAAACAGTACACACCAGTAAAGCTAATAAAGCTGAAAACCGGTGGCTATGACGGAGTAAATCTGAACTCTATATGGCACGAAACGCGGCGGAATGTACCGATTCTGACCGCTCAGTAACGCATCACCTATGCAACTGAATCCCCAGCTGGGATCAAGCTGAATCTACGACCAAGGCAGCTGATAGCTGATGATTGCTCCTCTCACCAACCGGTTATTGCCTCTGGCTGTTTTTAGAATTAGAATCAGAGTTGTGTAGAACGGATTCAAAATGATCGGAAAACCCGGGCAAAAAAACCAATAAACATAAATAGGTGAGGAGAGGAAATAATTATGATTTCAACTGAGGTCGGGTAATAAACCAACCGTGACTCAGTTCCCATGAATTTTGGGTTTCTTAGAGCCAGAAAAATACACAAGAACTCATCAGAAACCGCACAGATACAATTGGAAGGTAAGCGGATGCAAACCGGGATTTACTGGACTGGCAAGTGTTTAATTTATGCGTGAATATCGTGAAAAAACTCATGTACTGCACACTTATGAGACGAGGTACATTTAAAATGCCCCAATGCGCTGTTCCCTCTTTGGAGCTATAAGATATATTTTAATTATACATTTTATTTATATTATTCTTAACATAACTTATGACTACATTGGGGTATATTTCAAATGCCCCAATGCGGTGTTCCCTCTTTGAATCTCTGAGATACATATATAATAAATATACATTTTGTTAACATTATTCTTAACATAATTTTATGACTACATTGAGGTTTAAAAAAAATGTTCTCTGATAAAATCTTAGGTATATAACGTTTGTCACATTACTGCAGTTTTACACTCAGATCCTTTTTAGTGTGACCACGTTGACAAAATCACTTGTTTTAACAAGTGTGACCTTGCTTGTTAAATCACGTTCAAACTTTGTTTGGATTAGGCCATCTAATTTGTTCTACCTACGACTATAGTATAAGTACAGGGTTTACTAGACGCTCCTAGCTTAAACGAGCTGACTACTGTTGCTCCTTCTGGTCCTTCTCCACAAATCTTCTGAACAGCGGACTGAGTAGACCCGTAAAGTACATGGTTCGGGTTTCGCACTCGGCGCCTGTGGGCGTGGCAATCGCCAGGACACAGCGACTTCCGCCCGGTCGCACCAGATGGAGGACACTGCCCACCGATCCTGGGCAGGCGGCGCAGGTGCTGCTGTTGGAGAATCGCTGCAGCTCGCTATCACCGCCCATCGGCTCCAGGCAAAGGTGTGAGCTGCCCAGACCCTGGACTCCGCCAAAGTTGGCCAGGTCCCCGCATGCCGAAGTGGGACGCAACCGCATGGGCATCTCGTACAGCGGGCAGTCGTTTTCTGAAATTGTTTGGATTAAGATCTTTTTGCAGAGGTGTGTCATGACTAGTCTCAACACTCACCTTCGCCCTTGCCCCAGCCCACGGCCACCAGGCTGCCGCTCACCTGGAGCCGGGTCAGCTCGAACTGGCTGCAAATGGGAGCTACGCTCACATTGGCGGAGGACTGACTCCCCAGACGCAGTGGATCCTGCAGCCGGATAAGTGACAGATCCCTTTGAAATTGAACCAGACGCTGGAAAGGAAATCAAATTAGTCTCCTTCTTTGTACATTTATTACATGGGGGTGGGGGGTTGGATGTCAGCAAGATCTTTCAAAGCACTTTTTGGTTTTTTTTGTATAAAGAATTGACTATGATAAATTGACTATGATGACTTGAATATGATTAATTGCCTATGAGGAATAGAGGACTCACCACAATGTCCGCCAGATAGTCTTCGTCGGCGTCAACGTCCCGCATATCGGCCACTCCGAAGACAGCGTGACTGGGTCTCGCGCAGCCGGCGGCGCTGACCAGGAGCTGTGGGGTGAGGACAATGGCGGCACAGTGGTGCAGGTGGCCATCGAAGGCGGCGTTCGGATGGGCCAGCGAGGCCATGTGGCGATAGCGGGGCAGCAGCTCATCCGCCCGAGCGATGGCGGCCAACTCCTGGGGATCCACCCGCCGAGTGACCTCCGATGAGTCGCCCGGCAGCCCCAGACGCAGACCACTCTGGACGCGCGGCTGAAGGGGCAGGTTGAGTGGACAGCAGATGATCTCCTCGCGGGTTCCCTCGCGACACGTCGTGAAGTCCTCATCCCTGAGACGCCCCTGGGCCAGGAGTGGCTCCACACTGGGGCACTTTGACACGGCCAGGCATTGGCCCTCGTACAACGGAGCCGTGCACTCTGCCCCATCGGATGTGTCCCGGAAGGCGAGGCTCTCCCTCGTCGGCCGGTGTGTGGGTCCAATGGATCGCTGCACATACTCACGGTCCGTCTGGAATATGCTCAGCCAATCCTCGCTAGGCGATGGTTCTGGTGCTGGAGTAGTAGTCGTGGTCGTGGTCGTGGTTGTGGTTGTGGTGCTGGTGGTAGTAGTAGTTGTCTGATCTATTTGCATCGCACTCCGGGCATCCTCGACGGGACAACAGATCTTCTCGCTGCGAGTGGTGTAGCCGCAGTTCATAATGGTCTTGATGTTGAGGCGACCGGTTTGAAGATGCGAGGCCAGAGTCTCACAGTCCTCGATCGGTTGGCAGCGACTGCGGTAACTTGACGTCGGACAAGGATCACCCACTGCAACAGGGATATAAAATTATTATATTGGATTACACAACCCGTATCCTAAAACTCAAGCATTTAGGACGCAGTATAACTTATGTTCCAGATTCTTATTCTCATGGATATCTTATGAATAGATAGTTGAACTTCTTCAAGAAGAAACACTTCCCACAAAAACCATAAAGTTCAGAGAACTTAATGTTTGGAAAATTCCATTTATGAAATTCCAACTGGATGAAAGATATACACCCAAATAATTACATGGAACAGAGACCAATACTTAATTGTTTGGCTCGGAAAGTGTAATTATTTGGTTGGATCTCTTTCGTTGGCGAAACTGATTAACACATGAGGCAAAAGCTTACGCACCCTCCAGACTGAAGTAGCCCCGGCAGAGGCCCAGACAGAGGCTTGTTAAGATCAGGGCTGATCCAAAGCCCGTTGCCCCTCGAAATAACATTGCTCGTGTCGATCGCTGTTGATGTTAATGCTGCTGTTTTTGTATTAATTATTTCCTCTTGATTTCCCTGATTTCTTGTTGCGCAAAACGGGCTGGCGCAACTGACCGATCGACGGAGCTGCTGGCGATCAACTGACAGTTGTAACTGGCCCCACTCTCGGAGAAATTGAGTTGGATGGAGGCGGTTCTCCCCATTCAACTTGTTCCGCGATCGGCGGAAATCGCAGAGAGATACGGGAGAGCGAGCTTTAATCAGAGCGAGGTGGACCCAACATGATTGATTCCACAAAGTTACTCATTGACCGGTTGGACGGGAGAAACCCCAGGCGGCAAAGAGAGCTGCGTCCTCTAGGAGCTAAGCAATCGGAGGAAAAATGGGGGGTGCACCACAGAGTTTGATCATCCATCGATTATGCAAGTGTGACCTAACATTCTAGTGACTAAACCGTTTACTCCCCTACGAATCACCCAAGCCCCTACAGAGAAACTGATAATCACCTACAGAGAAACTGATAATCACCGATCGTTTCCATTTTTTATTGTCTCCCGCTTCCATTGATAAAGTCCATTACGTCTTGGTTGACCAGATGTAGTAGTGATCGGTGTAGTAGTCTGGCATTGCCGGTATTGTAGCACCTTCCGCCGGTGGGCGTGTCCACTCCGGTTTTACAATTCCTGCCGTTGGCTTGGACCTCATGACCGCATCGTTGTCTCCGAAGTGATGGGGTAAACGCAAAAGTGTGACTGGCTATCGATGCCCTGACCTCGGTTTTAATTGCTACATTACACGTGCTGAATGACCGCAAATCCAGCTCCTGCTCAAACCACTCACAGTTGTCATTTGGAAATGAAACACATACCAGCAGAGTGCCAAAGTATCGAGGAAACACCATTCTTTTGGGCAAAGCCCACAGCCACAAGCTATCGGGAGCTGTCATAATCCTGGTGTCTATTGCGAGTTAGCCGAAACAGGACGAGGTCATTATTTCCTTATGGAACTAATGGAACTTACCATACTTTAATCCCCAGTTCGTCTTTAAACGGGGCAACAAGGCCAAGGCGGACACTATTTGGCACCTACGAGGTAAGCACAAGGCTGTGCAGCAGTATAAATACGAGTCCAGGGTTACGGCATTCAAGTACCTCAGCGATGACGGGTGGGGATATAGTTATTGAGGATCTGGCTGGGACTGGGCAACCACTGGGGACTGAGAAATAGATTTAGCCCTGACGGAGGAGGGATTTTGGGGCGGTTGATTGGGACAGCATGTGAGTTCTTGGCGACAGAGTTTCCCGGAGAACATGGCTTTGGATCATCATGGAACAATATTTCTTTCAGCTGTTCTCTGGGTTATTATGCATGCTGGGACAGGAATCGCCCTCTGAGGTCAAATGAAAGTCATGTTAGATCACTCAGGAAGAGGGTACACCACCGCTCAACCACCTCTTAGCGAAATCTCAAGCTTTGCACGCCATACTGGACTATCAGTCAATGCGGTAATCAAAATCAGAAATCTCCACAATGATGGTGCAGCTTGTCTCACAGTTCTCATAGAACTAAGCGCTAAGTCGCAAAATGATGTCGACTATGGACTTTATATAGATCCTACTGGATTAGTCGTTGTCTTCTTTTAATCTGACCTTATCAGCATCCCTCAATTTTCGCAAAGTGCACTGAATGATAAAGGAACAGCTGATGATTATCATTCATGATTATCTGCACATTTTAATTCTATACTAAATGTGTGCAGTTCTCTGTTTATTTATGTTCCTGCTTTTCGGAAATCATTTACATTATAAACCGGTCACTCCCTTAGCGGTGCATATAAATGGATATTTATTTTCGTGTTTATACAAACAATTGTACTTCTCCCCTTATTGATACCTGATTGAGCTGCAGTGATATTCTACTTCCCTCATCATATTGACTATATGTGAGATCTCTTGAAGATCGCCAGGTAGTGTAACCCAGTCTGAACAATATTGCTTTCGATAGGGCGCCAACCAAAGAGGAACACTTTATTATTTCTTTAATGGTTTGGATAAGCGAAACAAGTTGTGTGGAGTTGCACAGGAGTCTGTTTGAGTTTTCTTTGTTTAATGTAGGTCTAAGACTAATAATACTCTCGGCAGGTGGGGCAGGTTTAGGGGCAGGTGCTGGAGTTCATGATCACAGTTGGGTTCCAAGCGAAACTTTTATTGTAGCTGAAAGTTGTGGGGGAGCAGCATGGCCTAGTAGCCGTAGATGAACGTCTCGTAGACGAAGCTGCGGGTCAGATTGGAGGTGAGCAGGATCTCGACGTTGGTCTGGCCGATGCCACCCTTGCTCAGATATCCTCCACTGTCGTCCGCCGTCATGTCCACATACACCTCGATGCAGGTGAGCGTGACTCCGGTGCTGGTTCCGGCCGGATAGCTCATCAGCACCTCGACGTCCAGGGCGCTGGCGAAGTTGTCGTCGTCGTAGTGATTCACAATGAGACGATCCCCCGATGTCCGCTCGCCCGAGGTGAAGACGATGTTGCCCTTAGAGTGCTTCACCTTGTTCATCTCGTTGAGCACCACGTCCGGATTGAGGGCGGTGTACCGTGTGTCATCGTTTACCGGGGTGATGTCCGTATAGTAGAGATCGCTAGCACGGGCATGGGGTTGTCCGGCGACCGACACGATGATGCCCAACACCATGCAGATCACACAAAGCATTTTCGAATCACGCGAAAAACAGATCACAAAAACAAAAAATAGGGTGTGATTTCGGGGAGGGGGTCGAGGCTCGGCGAGTCTTTTTCTAATGCACTATTCGACCGCTTTTTGGATTTTGGCTGGTGCTGGCGACTGCCTCCGGCTTTTATACGAACCCCCTTATCGGCGGTCACTAGCTCGATAAGGCGGCTCGACAAGGGAACGATAAGCCCCGGGAATTGGCCAAGGCAATTTCGGGAGGCGAACTTATAGACGCAGCTTTTAATTGGCCATAATACTTTGATCAGTTCCCAAAATAGATTTCTGCAGGTTACACTAATCGTATCGCTTGGAGCGGATGGAATCGAATACAATGGAACGAGCGGGTGAATCAGCGAAGGTTTCAATGGGTGCGGGTATACTAGGTAATTGGTCCATACGCTTAAAGTGTTATTAAAATGTAATCCATTGATAAATAAATATGTTATATGCTCTTTCTTCCTATTTAATATTAAAGCCCCTATCTAATGCCGACTTTGTATGCCACTAGTCATAAGCACAGTCTTGGTATATAGGAAGAGTTTCACCCGATGATGACTGGGCCATATTTTGGAGCCGAGTCTCCATCGACACGTGTTTGTTTATTTATTCGCTCGACGGCAATCTTAGCCTTGATATGCATATTGGCGCACAATAGCGAACAATCTATCTAATAAACAAATAACCCTATCACAAAGTCAATTGTCTGTCTAAGCAGCATGGCCAATGGGTACTGAATCGATTCCTGAATGACGTCGAAAGTTCCCCAGATGTGTCGTCAATTGCTCGAAAACAAAGCTTCTGAATTACGCAAAGAGAATGTTTGTCTAGATGGTAATTTCCAATTGTTTCACCAACTCGTGGGAGTTTGGCCATTGTTCGATCTCTGTCCAGTGAATCATGCTGCTGGGGAATTCCTTCGTAGATAGGGGAAAGTTCAGCAACGTCAGGGGAAGTATTATTTTTAGAAATAAATTGGTGCGTCGGACTCTATCGCCGTGAAATCCAAGTAAGTGATATACAATTTCGGTTTCACTTTCCATTACGATGTTTCAGTCGGAATCCCAATCAGAAGCAGGTGAGTGGCTGCCCCAGATTTATGGCACTGGCTGTCATCGGTTTCGAGTGGAAGGCGCGTGAGCGACGAAAACAATTTGAAATTACTCGAGATTACCGAATAGCCCGAGGGAATGATGATATATGATCCCACCAGCAGTTAACTTACCGCTGTCCAATAGGGGCATACAGTTTTACACAGAGGAAAAAGACAATAGAGTAAGGTGACCCAGATTTCAGAAAGTAATATTTTCGGGTGCACTTTTGCCATTTTGTATAGTTAAAGTCTCTTTATTCCAATTAATCAAAATAAATGAGGTAAGATGTGAACTTTATAATAAACCAAGTTATAAAGAGTTAATGTTGATGTTGGTGACCCAAATCCATTAGGCTTCGCCGAAAAGAGCCCTTCGTCTTTCCTCCTGTGTATAACTTAATTTCATAGTTTTTAGTTTTTTTCGGTAAATACATTTATATAATATAAATAAAAATCCACATATTTAATAGTGCGAATCTGATTTCAGTATTTTAACATGGTTAGTTAAAATAACTATTTTTATCATTGATAGTTATATGGTTAATACTTGATTAGTAAATGTAGTCCGTTAATGAAACCATGGTTGTTACTTATATCGATGTAATCTCATATTTGGGACCGACATTAGTCTGCCTGTATGCACATATATTTCAAATTAAAGTCGAAGGACATACATTTTAAGGAACTCGGAAATAAGGAGCGAAGATCGATGTCTAATTCGTCTGGCCGTAGTACTGGACCTGGTAGGAGAAGTTTCTGGTGTTGCTGGCCTCCAGAACAATCGAGATGAACCGCAGGCCGATGCCTCCGGCCACCACGTAGGCGGTGCCTTCGCTGCTGTCCTGAGTGCAGAGCAGCTCCACGTAGGACACGATGGCGCCAGCGCCCTGCTCCGGATATGTCAGCTGCAGGCTGACATCCTGCGCCTGTGGGTATTCGAAGGCGTCGGCTGTCTGGGCCACCAGACGATCGCCTGAAAGTATGCCAGATTCGGGGGTTAATGATCGGTGGCTAGACGAAGTCTGCGCTTTTGGGGGACTTACTCGGAATGCGGGCTCCCAGGTTGTAGCGCACGGTCTGGCTTCCGGCACGCGCCTTTCCTGGCACGATCTCCTTTTCCAGGGCCTGGATCCGAAGACCCGGATGCTGGCTGGCAAACACATGAATATCCTTCACCACTCGGATCTCGCTGCTATCCACACGAATTTTTCCAGCAGCTCCGCCGGAAACTAGGCAGCCCAACAGGGCGGTCAACAGGATCAGGCTAAACTTGGACATCTTGGGTTATTTATACGATTGAGAAGGGTTGGAACTTATATCTCCAGTCACGGTGCTAGGAAGTCGCGGAGTGATGACCAAGGTCTGAGAAACCACCTATTTATACCGAATAGGGGAACTCTCTGCTTTGCTTTGAATCACACATTCGGTTCCCTTATCAGGCCCATTGCCAATTTCGAGTGGCAAGTGACAATGTCTAATCCAGAACCGGAAAACGAGCAACACCGAAGAGGGAAGTACCCTGTGTGGCCTGTCCACCCTTTTCTTTCAAAGTATAAAATAGTACAGAGTTGCAATATAAAAATAATTATCATGATAAAACCAAAGGGGTTAAGGGATCTTAAATTAGAATATCCAAAATCTTACGAATACTTACAGAAATTTCGAGGCTGCCATTTAAAGTTTATCTACCTCGAGAAAGAGTAACAATAATAACAATGATAAGAAACATTCCCACTTCAATCAATTAAATTGAACAATTTTGGTGTTATTGCGCTCGGATCTAATCATAAACTTTCCGTCTCCCGACATCGGTTGTGTTATTTGGGAGTATAGCCCATTCAGCAATAAACAACAAACGTTCTACTCTTTCTGGCCGTTGATTAGCCAACCAAAAGTAAACACAACCTCATGTCCCGGGATCGACACCTGCCGGCGGTTCTCTTTTGGACCCTCTAATTGCTCTCCACCGCATAGCGAAATATCTTCCCGGAATCTTATCGCCAGCGGACTTCCCTGGAACTGGGGCGTCGAGTACCTTCAAGACGAAACGGCCCATCATTACCTATTCGCATCCCCGCGGCAATCGATATTATTGATTTGATTAAACAATCAATTCTGAATCATGGCGTTAAATTAAAACCCACTAGACATTCTATACGCTTTGCGAACTAGGCTTCCGTTACTATAACACCTTTTACGGGATGATATTTTGGAAGAGAACTTATATTAAAGAAAACTAAAGATAGTTTCACATAGTATCACATATTTCGGCAAACAAAAATCAACTCGATTTTGGTTATTTGTGCCATTCAAAATAAGTTAATACTTTTTTATAAAAAACAAACTTATAAAAGATTTGTTTAATGTCTCTTTCTTTAATGTCTGTAGTTAATATAGAGATAAACTTATATCTTTAAATCTTTCGAAACAAAAACAGGCACTTTTAGTGCCCATTTGTTTATTAAACAAATCTTTAAAATATTTTGATTACGAATGGATTAAATATTTAAAATATGAGAACATTTACCCAGCTTAAAAAAATGAAACAAATTCGCCCAAACAACATAAAATAATCAACAACTTGGGTTACAAGGTAAAGTGTTTAGAAAACATGTTTATTTATATGCTATTACTCAGACTTATCGATAACTCTAAAGTTACACATGAATGTAAAATATTGTTTTCAAAAATCGATCTTCCGAAGCACTTGCAACGATCAATTACGATTACGACTACCTGGTACAGAGAGCTTTACGAAGCACAGAAAAAAAAAACAATAACGTCAAAGGTTAAAGGTTAAAGAGCCGAGCTTCGCTGCAGACTCGATCGGTTCGGATTTGATTGGATTGGATTGGATTATAATAGATTAGCTTAGATTGGAATGTGGCAGCGTCGAAACTTAGCTAAGGTTAGTTGAAGTTAAAGGAGTACAGACTAAGGTTAGTACATTAATTTGTGTTGGCAATCATAAAGCAAAACAATCTGCGACCGTGTCGTCCCGTTCCATAAACCCTCTATTGCACTCGATTCGCCAACCACTTCCCGCTCTCGCGCCATCTCTCTCTATTTCGCTTCCGTCCTATCTCCATCGCACTCTCTCACTCATACGCATGGACACCCAACGAGGCCGGCATGGAAAACCCCCAGGCTAGGATCCTAATATTCAGTTTGGTAACTATTTTATGAGACTCGCCTTACAAGATGTGATGATTTTCGTTCTACACTAAGTTACATTTTGAATCTATCTTTAAAAATGAAAATAAAAACCCCTTTTCGAGCAATACTCAATGAACACAAATTTAGATTTAGAAACTGGTAACAATTATTTTTCAGTTTACAAATAAAGTACTATATGAGAATTATTCACGATTCGAGATTTATAATCCAAAGGTCTTTTCGAAATTGTTTTACAAAATCGAAGCTCCTTAGCTTTAATAATATATTCAAAGCCCTGGCTTGGATACTAATTACCTAGGGGATTTCCATGTGCCCGCAGTGCATATGTACAGTGCGTCACATAAATGCCTACGTGTATATATCTGTATGATTTCGTGTGTTTTTCTGTGTGGGTGTATATACTTGTATGCGTTACAAAACCAACAACAATTCCATTTCTCATTTTCACTAAATTGCTTTTGTCTAAAAAATCGCCCCCGTTGCCCCGGTTGAAACCCTTGTGATCCATCCATTGATCCTCCTGCTGCTCATCCCACTCATCCGAATCCTTCCTTATCCTCAACACCGGACTTACCAGCGCGGGCGTATCTCCTTGAACCACCACTGCTGGTAGCTATCGTTGACATCGCAATGGCCCAATGACAATTGCTGGGTGGCCGGGTGTAGGGCCATGCACTTCTTGTGGACGCGGTGCATCAGGTGCTTCGTGTGCTCGTTGTACTGCCAGGGACCGTCGACTGTCCCCAGGCGACAGACGGCCAGCTTGATGCCCTGCCGATCGGCCTCCACGCAGCGCTCGCCCACGCCCAATTGTCCAGCGGCATTGAGCCTGACCAGTTGGTTGTTTCCACCTCCGTGGCAGTACGTGAGGCCCATAATGGCCGGCGGCTGATGGCCCATGGAGTCCAGGCATCCTTCGGAGGCCACCGAGCGCAGTTCGCCCCAGTGCAGATTGGCCGGCAGGCCCGGGAACTTGTCGTACACGTCGTAGGCGATGTGGTCCATGAACCACTGGAAGCTCTTGCAGTTCAGCCGCTTCTTCAGAGCCAGCTGCTCGCTGATGTCGCCCATGTCCAGATAGCGGGCCAACGGCTCTCGCGTATAGAAGTACTCCTTGTGCGTGTCGTCGAACCACGTCTCGATCACGCGCTTGTAGTTGATCGTGATCAACGGACCCTTCTTCTTGCTGGCCAACTTGCCAAAGTTGTAGGGCATGAAGCCGCGATAGACGTGGCCCACGCGGGAGCAGGGCACCCACTCGATGCTGCCGCCGCACTGCCAGATCTTGAAGCTCAGCTCAAAGTTTTCGCCGCCCCAGACCAGCAGGCCCGGATCGTAGGCGCCCAGCTCCAGGAAGTACTCCCTGTTGATGGCAAACAGGCCGCCGGCGTGCGTGGGACTGCGGTAGGGCTCCGAGTTGTGCGGGCGACGGCGTTGCTCGCGGCGCGGCACCTCGTTCTCCTTGTACAGCATGCCCCACTCGAAGATGCCGCGGAAGTGGTTGTCCGTCCCATAAACCGGGCGATACTCAAAGTTCTTGTGGTCAATGCCATCGATGATGGGCACTGTCATCACGGTGCGATCCCGGTAGATGGGGGCCAACATCGGCGGCAGCCAGTTAGTGTTCACCTCACAGTGGGCGTCCAGGAAGACGATCACCTCACCTGCGGGGGTTTAAGGGATTTTAATACCATTGCAATTTATTCCTGCATCTACATTATTTTATTTACAAATGCCTTGACCCTCCTACATATGTTTGAGTACATTACAAGTAGATGATAAAAATCTATGTTGTTTAAATAGTCAACCAAGTAATTTGTACTTATAGAAGGCAAATACAATTAGAATGCTAAACTATCAAGCTGCGTTTTAAACCATTTGATATAGAAGTGAAGATCTAACAGAACGTGATGATTCATCAATTGAAATTGCAAATAACTTTCAGCGAGTGATATAGTTCTATTAAGATAAAAAAGTTTTTTTCTATTATGGCACGTTCTTTGACCCCATGGCTTCTTGGGCATTCAATTATTTGGTATGCGATTATCACTTCTTAGATATACCAAAATAAAAAACACAATTAAGATAAAGAAAGTGCTACCTATATATTATATATGGGTACGCACCTGTTGCCTCCATGGCTCCCCTGGATCGCGTACGGATGAGACCCTCTCGCTCCTTATTCCTAATGACCTTGACCAGTCCCTTGAACTGCAGCACATACTCGTCCAGCTTGCTGCGCAGGTTCTCCTTGTCGGAGAAGTCGTCCACAAGGATGATCTCGTGCAGCATGTGCGCGGGCGAGCGGTCGATGACCGAATGGACGGTGCGCATGAGCACCGAGAAGCCCTCGTTGTGGAAGACGATGATGACGCTGGTGCGTGGCAGATCGAAGGGGTAGTCCCAGTGGCGGCACTCCTCCAGCCGCGTGTCCCGCACCGACCGGTGCATGGAGATCTCGTCGGAGCAGGCGATGTTCATGCCGTACTCCATCTCGGACGCGTCCGACATGTGCTTCTTGTCGGGCGACAGGCTGTGGCCCTCTCCATTCTCGCCGGGTCCGCTACGTGGCTTCACATCTTTGGGCTCGAAGTTGCCCAGACCTGCAAAATGCGAATAAGAAATGTGAGTCGCGAATTTGAGTGCGTGTTCAAGCCTAAAACAATTGTATAAATATTGGCGAAGACAGTGTATGCTCTTCCAAAAGGAATAATATAAGATGTTTGAGGATGGGATATCATGCCTTTTTTTGGGTCACCTTACATTCTGTTTTAAACTTAGCCAAACTCTCGTACTATTCTGTTTTTTCAGAACACGATAATTTTGTATAGTTAGTAAGCAAATATGCTTTAGGAATACTGTCCTATGTTGCTTTTCTTTTCGCTCTTTCCAGCATTAATAGTTGGGGCGATTATAAAGCCGGTTTTGAAGAATGTAAAACAGAATATGGTGAATATTTCCGGAGGGTATTTTAGAGATGTCTAAATTGACTGTTCCATGGGTGTCCCCAGTAACTCATCCTATTTTACGCCACTACATTAATGTTTAAAACCACAGCAATGCCAATTTTAATAAGTATGTAGTCGAATTTGGTCAATATTAGTGGTTAACGCAAAGATAAAATTGGTTGTGAATAATATAGAACATAAGTAGGTGAATATTTTAAAAGGGTTGGTAGTTCTTGAGCAATACGATATGGGCATAACTTTCTATGGCGTTTGCGGGGTATTCTCTATCCAGAAGTGTCTAGAGATAATTAGGATAATTATTGCATAGACATAGCCAGTTTTGAAAAATATAGTCGTGTGCATTATGAAATCGTGTGCATTTAAATGGTATCTTTACCATTTACAACCTCGGGCTTTACGATTATTGCCATGATATACCGATTTATAATGTCATTTTTGTTCTGCTTACTTCATCCTGATCCAATTAATCCTCCACCAGCCCTGCTTAATGATTAAGGTCATGATATCTTAGTTTATAATGATGTTTTTGAACATTTCGATCTTATCCTTCACCAGCTCCGTTTTAATTTTAAAGGTCAGTTTGGAATGATATAGGTGCTTAAGAATCGTATGACTTTAAGTAAACTGAACAATACGAGCTGGGGATGAGTATGCTATCCCTAATCCTGGTCCAACTTACCCTCCACCAGCTTGGGTACCTCCCGCGGACGTCCCTCCAGTCTCTGATGGGCGAACTTGGGTCCGCCGAAGCGCGTGTGGTACGCCTCCTGGACGCGCTTGTGATGATCGCTCCAGTTGGCCAGCAGATAGAGCAGTGGGAGCAGCACCAGGAGGCACAGTGCCAGCCGGCAGATCCGGCCGCTGCGGATGTTGCTCACGCGCATCTCGCGAAGATTCCGATTCCCGGTGCCAAGTTTCAAATCTGTTGACGTGTCTAGGTGGCCAAAGCGAAGAGTGGGGAGCGCGGTGACGGGGGGCGGGGAAAGGTGGCCAGAAAGCAGAACAAAAGAACTTTCGGTTCGAAGATTCAGCCGCCGAAGTGGAGATCAAAGGCGCCCGCCGATAATGAGCAAGTGCTGGCTTGTAAACCGGAATAACTGGAGTACACCAGCTGGTCGGATTTTGCGGCTCCTTGGCTCTTGGAACACTTGCCGGCGAAAAAGCGCCGCTGGCACACAGAACAAATTGCGAGTGCAGGTGCACAATATTCGCTGTGCAAACGTAAACAAAAAATGGGAAAAATGTTCAACTGGTAAAAACGCGTTTTGAGGTTTTTGTAACCCGCTGTGCAGGCGCTAGGCCAAAAATAGGCACTTACAGCGATAGGCAGTGCGACGAAAATAATGGGTTGTGGAACCTAACTTATGTACATATCTACATATATATGTATATATGTATATATTTGTACTTTGGTTTTTGTAAATGTTATTAACTAGTTTGCTGTTCTAGGGAATATATTTAAATGTTTTATTGACATTTGAATCTTTTTAAAATGTGTTTTTGCTAGAACTACTTAGCGCAACACTGCGTACGTAGTCACGTAACTAATTCTTACGTCGATTAAATCGCCTGTTATCGTCTAGCAACAATCGATAACTCCTGCATTGTTTACTTCTGGCGCAATTTAAATATTCATTTTATTAAATATGGTAACGCGGCAATTGCATTCCGCCATCTTCGGCACATGCGGCCTTGAGGAGGAGTCCCTGGTAGAGATCTCCGGTCCGGCGGACAGCGGCAAAAGCCTGGTGCTCCAGCAAATAATGGCCCACTGTTTGGCGCCCTACGAATTTGGTGGTCGCCAGTGGAGCGCCCTATTGATTAACCTCAGTCACAAGATTAACCGGGAATCCCTGACCAAGAGCATGACGACGGAGCTGAGAGCGTATTCCGACGGAGATGGAGGAGGAGCGGCAGCGGCACAGGAATCACCGCCGGAGGAGCAGCTGGCGAAGATTGCCGGAGAATGCGTTAAGCGCGTGCGATTCCTCAACTGTTTCTCCAACGAGGATGTACAAACTGCCCTAATCGATGCTCGCTATGCCATCATCAATGATCCCGACGTGCAACTAATTGCCCTGGACACACTCAGCGAATTCTACTGGCTGGACTGGCCCAGGGGAATGCAGAACTTGTCCAGATTCAAGCACTATCGGTTGTGGCAGGCGCGTCTGGAGAAGATCTGCAAGGAGGCCATCGTTTGCGGAATGTACACGGTGGACTCTGATTTCCTGGAGAACAGGCATGGTGACCAAGTGCCGGAGGTTCGATTAAACTACCATTTCAGAATGCAACAAATTCGGGGGCGAAACTTCCTAAATGGGTTGCCACTATCTTTTAGTAATGGGGTTTATTTAGATAGCTAACTAATAAGAAAAGTATACACCGAATTACTTACTGTTTAAAAAATTAGGAAGAACCTCAGAAACTATTAGATTTATATGATTATATGTTCGGGGAGTTTCGTTGGTCTGTCAGTTGCCTTTAGCAATGGCTTAATTGAATAGCAAGTACAAAGATTTACCCGATTTAGTCACTGTTTTATGTAAATATACACTATTTTTAGATATATTTATTTGTCTGTATGGCAAAGAAACTGTTGGACCAGAAAAATCTGAGAGGAGACGGTTATAAATGAGATGCAAAAAGCATTTCTGATCTGAAGGTTCCACTCCGGGATATCAGAAACTATTTAAGCTAGATAAATAGGCTGTTCTGAGCAAAAGAAACACAGATTTGAGAGTGACCCACGATTAAACGATGTTTTGCATTTAGTAAATAATATTTATCAGGACTTAACCATGAAAACACCTCAAAGTTGTTTAAAATTGGATTTATTTAGATAACTACCAAGTCAGAAATCTATACACGCATTATTAACTGTTTTTATGTAAAGGGATCTCGGGAACCATTAAAGCTAGAGAAGTGGGATGACTTATTCCATTCGTAAAATAATATTATCTTGATGAAAATGCTTAAAAGTTCCTTGAAATGATGTTGAAACCAACATTGTTTGCTTTTTTTAAAAAGAATTGCAAACCCTACCAGAATTGTACTTATAACTAATGATATCTAAAAACTATGCATAAGTAAACTAGTTTGTTTAGCAGTGTCCTTTTCTTAGCATTTTAAGAAGCAATATGTTTTGCAAATTAATACGGCGTCTTATGCCGATTCTTCTTCAACATATTTTGGTAGTGCTTAAAAGGCGATAAATTAGTAAAAATTATTAAATACAATCATTATTACTAAATGTAATTTCAATAAATAATTATTTTTTTATGGCTTAGTCACAAACATTAAGAAATTTCAGTTTTAACGCTTTTTAAATGCTCTATTTACATGTGTGTTCCTCGAGTACCTTCGTACAAACTTGGCATTTAACCTGGCAACACCAGTGAAATTTGCAACTGCAGCGTTCCTTAACTATAATGTTTTTCGTATTATAGCCCCGTCCACAGCAAAGTATGGCACAGCTTTCCAATCCCGATGAGTTCTTCTGACATAAACGTCCGTGTGTTCCCGGCCAATGGAGCATGTGGCTCGATCGACACCAGTCGGGGCTTTCATCCAAATAGATAAGATCGTGTGCTGTCGGTACCCTGAACTGCAAATCCTTCAACTGGAGCCGTCCGCGCTTGTTTATCTTGACCTGCGTAGCCTCTTCGTATTTCTCCCGCAAATAATCACCGATCTCCCTTATGGACGACAACTGCTGCCAGCACGTTATTAGACTGCACGATCCCGACACTCCGTGGCACTTGCAGGTGATGCGGGTCTTCTTAATCACCGCCCGACGTCCGGCCTCATTGTTGTGCAAATTCATGAGACTCCTTGCCTTGGCCGTGGACGAGCTGCGATAGAGTACCCCATCCTTGTAGGCCCCAAAGGCCCCATTCACGTCATCGGACTGCCTTCGGTTCTTCTTAATCCCTTCGCGTGCCCGTTTTCTTTTCACGCCGCGAGTCTCTCGATTGGTCTCCTTCTCCCGTGAATCTATAAAGTCGGTGGCAAATTTGTACGCAAACTCTAGATTATCGCCACATCCGCCCCAATTCCAATCGTCGTGCAGCTGCTTGGGTCGCGGTCCTCGCGAGCAACTGCAGGAGGCCAGTTGACCATCTCTACAGGCACGGGCTATGAAGCTAGTCGCGGTGGCAGCGGCAAGGGCGTATATAAAGGCCATTTCGGGGGCGGCCAGGCTTGTCATCGGGCCAAATACGGTCTCGTCGTTCGTGGTGCTGCAGTTCCAGCGGCGGTTCTTGAATTGAAACTGGCATTCTTGGATGGCCGCTCGGGCCCCGCGACTTATGGCTGGCATAACACTGGTGTGCTTCACACACTGCTTCTTCTGGCTGTTGCTCAGGCCGTAGGCGCCATAGCAGTTGCTCGGATTGAGATCAATCCTTTCGAAATATGCATTCGCATTCGTTGTGACATTGTAGTTGTCATTGTTTGGGGAGGACGCTCCACCGACATCTGCCGATGCCATCACAACGTCGTGTTTAAAATAGTCCGTTACGGACGGGTTTTCCATGGACACTTTGAAGTAGTCCGACTTGGTTTTTCTACTGGGTCCGCCTGCGGGTTGCGAGCGTTCCACTCGCGAGAGCAGTATGCCATCCGATCCCTCAGAGGAATGTACTTTGAATGAGTCGGGGATCTCAATGGATACGGCAAATCTCCGAGTGTTATTAATTGTCTGAATGAATGGCTGGAATGGGGGCTGTATATACTCGGATTGGCCTCGGAACCACTCGTCCCGTTCCCGCTGCCTCTGTTGCTCCTCCCGCCGCCGCTGACGAATGCATTTCGGGGACTCGGGATTGCGCAGGCACGGAGGACGCTTGGTCGTGCGCTGCGGTGCGCCCGCCTTCGGAGCGTTCACCGTGGTCTGGACTGGTTCTAGGGCGGCCGTGGGCGTCGACGTGGACAATGTTTCGTTGAGCAAGAGCACCTGGGGCTCACTGGGATTGTCCTTGCCCCTGTTGCCGAGCACAACAGAAGTGTCCGTGGTCTTGAGCTGGGATTGATTATTCCCAGTCTCCTCGTTCTGGTAGTAGCCACCACTCGGCTGCTGTCCCGGGGTGTCTGCCCCCTTCGGAACCTTTCGTGTTGGCGCTGCAATGGGTGCAGAATACTGATGGATGGGCCTTTGGGGACGCTTTGCGTTCGTGGGTGAACTGCCCGCCGACGATTTGTCCTTGTCCTTCTGCAGACTGGGGAACTTGACGAACTTCGACTCAAAGTTGGAATTGGTCTGCGTCATGTTGTGCAGGAAGAGTATGTGCTTCTTCAAGTCGTCGATATTGGAGGTGGGGTCCGCCTCCAGTTGGGCCATTGGCGCGGGCACACGTTGCATGTCGGGGGGCACGAAGGTCTTGGTCGACTTCAAGGGCAGCGACGACGGAGTGGGGGCCGTGACCACCCAGCGGGGATCGGGGGAGGAGTTCTTCAGGGCCATGGGCACGATAAACTTGCGATCCTCGTCGGTCAGACTGGCGGGCAGGCCGTTCTCGTCAGTGTCCTCGTCGAGGAGGATGATCTGCTTCTGGTCCATCTCCTCCTGGATCGGGTGAATGGGGCGCGAGGTGATGTTCGGCCGCTTGGTGAGGTCGGCCTTCACAAACCCAGTCTCCGAGTCGCGCAGGTCCACGGGCTTGATGAACGTGCCCAGCTTGCGGAGGCCCTCCTGGTGCATATTCACCGTCTCATCCTTGGTAATGTTCAGTGGCACACTCGTGTTGGCCAGCTGCTCCTCCTGCTTCCCAAACTCGATGAACGGCGACTTCAGGCCGAGACATATCCATGTGGGCACGCCTTGCAGACCCGCCGCTCCAGCAGCTCCAACTGCTCCAGCTACTCCGACTGTGGCACAAGTTGTCCATTGTGATGCTAAAAGCAAAACACATATTGCACGCAACGGCCACAACAGAAAGTGCGTATTTTTAGAGCAAATCATTATTATTGTTATTTTCCCTTCGTTTTGAGGAGTGAAAAATGAGTTTTTTGGTCGATTCAAGCCCGTTCGAGTCCACGAATCCGTTTTAGATGTTGCGTTTGGCTGCTGATTGTGGGTTTCCAGTTGATGCACTCGCAGAGAGTTTGTAGCATAATAAAATGAGAACTGGATTTGTGCATAGTATGTATGTATACAATCAACCACAACCGGCAACAAAAGGCAACCGCGACGCAGTATGGACCACCCTTAACGACAATTTGTAAACAACTGAAGAACTCGTTCCGCATTTAAGTCTTTCGTGGTACAAACGCAGTCCAAAATGTTGCTGTCTGCGAGCAACCACCATCACCACGACCACTTATACATATTTTCATTTTGTAGAATGTTGTGCAACATGTTGAGAAGGCTCGTGAGTTCTAGGGATGGGAGCGGATATCGATAGTCTATCGATTTTTGTAGGTGTCATACGATACTAACAAAGTATGCCATGATTGCTATATTCTGTTTTGATCTGTTATTGGAGCTTATTTTTCCACACCTTTAATTAGATAATTTTAAGATTAAGCAACGTAAAAGTCTATCCGATAGTATCGATATATTGCCGTTGACAACGGTATTTTTCGGGGTCTAACAACTGACACTTTAGTTTTTCATTTGCTTTTATTTAAACTGTACATTAGTTCATGTATTAACTCTTGAATAATATATTTAATATCGATATTGTGTCGTTGAGAACGGTATTTTCCAGAGTTTCAAAACCGACAAGTGATTTACTTTTCATTTGCTTTCATCTAAAAACTTAATTAAAATGAATTGTTCATTTTTTAGGAAAATACTTTAACTTTTTACATTTTTATTTTTGTGATAAATAAAGAAATACAAATGTTTATATATGTTCGATAATATCGATATTTTGACGTTAAGAACGGTATTTTTTTAGGGGCTTAAAAACGGACAGAGTTAATGACTATTTATTTTTTACTAGATTTGTATTAAAAAGCATACTAATACATGATTATTTTTTTTTGTTAAATAACTCAATTTCTGAAGCCACTTTTACTTTTATAATAAATAATATATATAGAAATCTTGTATCTCAAAAATATTAATGAAGATATTTGGCGTTATTTAACATAAATATTTTTAATTTTCTCTGCTTTAAAAACGGCAAGTGGTTATTATTTTCCAACTGTCATTATATAAATAATATTTAAATTCATGATTTATTTTGATGGAAGAACCCATCAGGCGTTACAATGCAAGTTATACGGGGTTACACATGTTAACTATAATTAAATAGAGCCAAGTAAATACTGTATCAAAATAAAAATCCATTTATTTGGCTATTTGGGCAATCACAGCCTGTTATGTACATAAAACGAATTTTCGACGGTACTCTCTATTCGAAATACTGCTAACGATTATTTACAGGGCTTCCACACGCCACTTACGGACTAGGCTAAATAAATAAAATCACGGAATCAGGACCTCATCACGGGAGGCCCGATCTAATGCTGCATCTTGTTGGTTTTCGCCAGGGTGAGCGAGCTGCCGATGCGACGGCGATCGTAGAAGGGCTCCGGCTGCTCCAGAGCTCCAATGGCGGTCACTGCGGCGAAGCTGGACCCGGCGGGCTCCTCGTACATCACATGGCCCACCTGCTGCAGGTAGGAGGTGATACTCTCGTCCACCTCGTGCTCATAGCTCACGCGCATGGGAGCCAACTGGTGGTGCAGACGGCCATTGTTCACCGCCGCCGTTAAGGATTCTCCGCGGAGCAGGTACTTCATGATCACCTGGCAGAGTTACAAAATTTCATTTCAAAAACTGATCTCCACCGGGGGAAGGTAACAACGAACTACTCACAGCTGCCACACTGGTGGTGATGCGAGTGCCACCTGCTGCTCCAACCAGCAGACGCACATTGCCATCCTGGTCGACCACGATGCACGGACTCATCGAGGACATGGGCCGCTTGCCGGGATAAATGTAGTTGGCCGGCGAGGCGGGCACCCCGAAGCCATTGATCACGCCCGGCGTGGAGAAGTCGTCCATCTCGTCGTTCAGGATGATGCCCGTCTGCGGAGAGGCCACCTTGGAGCCAAAACTGCGGAGGAGTAACAACAAATTAATACCATAAACTCGATATATCCATACCATCTATAAGATAAACTACGATTTAATACCTTATTTAGTACATATATCCAACAATCAATCTGTCATTGATCATGGATTGTTTCTTTTTGTAATATTATAAGCTTACAATTAAAACTTCTCAAAAAACTAGCAAATTTTAAGCTATTAGATTTCTATTTTTAGATATACTTATATTACAATGTACATAAATAAACCTGTCACGGTTAACAATGAACAATAAATACCAAATAACAAAAATCAATGGATATAATTTAATTAATAATCTTTGAAACGGATTAAAACTTTACAGAATTCCATGAGATAACGTTATTTTACATTTCCGACTCATATTATTTTTTATGTAGCCAGTTAAGAAACTTGCCTCTAATAAGAAATAACAAATTAAGAAGTTAATAGGAACTAAAAGACTGCTAAATGCAACCAAATCGATTAGAATCTATAAATCGCAAGGTTACTAGAGCATTACAAATAAAACAAAACCACATAATAAATGAAGTTTAAGAAGAAACAAAACTATTTACTCACTAGTTATTGATGGTGCTGGTAATGGAGACGGCATCTCCATTGGTGGCCAGGACGTTCATGTGGGCGGTGCCGTGATCCGCCTCTATGGTGAAGTTGGCGCCGTAGTCGAGATAGTCCTGCGAAGTGTGGTCGTCGTGGATCAGCTTCCTGATGCTCTCCAGGAACTCCGGCTGCAGCATCTGCTCCAGCGTGGCATTGATGGAGGCATTGCTGACGGGATCGGCGTAGAGATCGCCCAGATTGGTGCGCTGTCCGTAGGCGTGCTTGAAGGCCTCCACGGCCCGCTGCCAGTAGACCTGCTCGTCCTCCGTGTGCAGTCCGGCCATCAGGTTCAGGATGAAGGTCAGCACTGGCCCGCTGCTCGGCATGGGCGTGGAGTAGAGGGTGTAGCTGTTGCTCACGTGGGCCGCCACGTGGCCATCGCTCTCCCAGCGGACCTTGTAGTCGCGCAGGTCCTGCTCCGTGAGGGTGCCGTTCATGCTGCGGATGTCCTCGATGAACTTGCGACCCGTCTCGCCGCCGTCGTAGAACTCCTTGGCCCCGTTCTCGGCAATCCTCTCCAGCGTGTCCGCCAGGGCGGGGCGCTTCATGTAGTCGCCCTCCACGAAGGGGTCACCGCTTCCATTAAGGAACACGGCGGACAGACCGGGATCCGCCCGGATATTGTCAATCTTTTGCTGGATGGCAGAGGCCAGATAGCGGGACACCACGTGGCCCTCTCGCGCCAACTTGATGGACGGCTCGAAGAGGCGCTTCCAGGGCAGGATGCCGTAGCGACGGTGCATCTCCCAGTAGCCCAGGATCTCGCCGGGCACAGCTCCCGCCCAGGCGCCCGTGATCTCCGACTGGCCCACGAACATGTCCTTGTGCGCGGACGCCGGTGCCGATTCCCTGGCAATCAGGGTCTCCACCTTGCGAGTGCTCCGCGAGTAGATGACGGCCACGAAGCCCCCGCCAATGCCCATGGAGTGGGGCAGCAGCAGTCCCTCGCAGAGGAGCGTGGCGATGGAGGCGTCCACCGCCGAACCGCCGTCGGTCAGCACATCGCCCCCGACGGCGGCGCATCCGATTCCGTTGGACACCACCGCGCCGCTGATGTAGCGCGCATCCCGATCCCGCAGCCCGAAGACCAGACCCAAAGTCAGGGCGGTCACAATCAAGGCCGCCAGCAGCAGCCACAGGAAGAGCTTCTTGCTCCACACTAACCTGCAAGCACACAAGCAGAGAAGATCATCATCAGCTAGTGATCAGCCATCAGCCATCTGCCATCTGCGATCTGCGATCGCCATCAGACCCTCGAGACTGAAGAGTTTGAGAACCTGGTCGAGTGGAGCGGTGGCGGCGCTGCCGATTAGCTTTGATTTGCACGCCGCTATCGGAACGCCGAACCGAACTGTCGAGTCATCTGATTGCAGTCAGCTCGAAATAGGTGATACCCTGCTATATTTGTTGTCCCTAATAACAATAAATATCTCGATCTATTTCTGAACAAGTCTTATTAAAAGACTGGCACAATACGTCTTTATAGCGATACGAGTATTAAAATAAACAAATACTTATATAAAGATGATATAACAATACATTGTCTTGTCTAAACAAATTCTAAAACAAAAAAATGTTCACTATAAATTAATATAATAAAAACATCAAATAGTACCAGTCTTAAATACAAATTATTTAAGAGTTATAATGCGATCCGCAAGGTAAACAAAAAGTTTACAATATGGATAAGATAAAAATTAAGCGTTCTGTACACCTTTAATATGCCAACTTGATAATAAGGACTGTAATCTATGGCCAGTTAAATCAAATTAGCCGAATCATTCCGTTCGATCTATCTGGAAACGCAGTGAATGAAAACAATTATCTTAAGATTCGGTAGCTCTCCTATTATAAAAGCCCTATCTGTGGGGAATGAACGATTGCCCTGTGCTCTGGAGTGTCCCATGACGAAGGGATTTTCTGTTGTCCATGGCTGATCATGTCCATGTACACGTACTGGAGGAGTCCGGACATACCTTCTGTCCGAATAGAGAGTGGGCCCCATGGAGCCTTATCTATATGGGAGTGCTCTTCGATAGCACCCTGCCCATAAAAATGCCAACCCATTTGATCGTAAAACTTGAGCGCTATTAACAAGCGATTTTCTATAATTAACGTAGATTTCTGGGGGGGGGGAAAGTCGCAAATACTTTGAATTAGTGCCTGTCACGGCCCAAAAACGCGTCCTCGCCATACATACGTGATCACAAATTTGTTGTTCTAATATTTCAGAGCGATACGATCGATTATCGCAACCCGTCTGCAGATTAAGATCCTCGAGGGGCACTTTCCAAAACCGCTTTCGCTGAATCATCCTACAGCCCAACCAGCTTGATCTGCATATTATGTGGCTATGTCGTTAACGATAAGAGCCATCGATTCATTCACATTTCCTTCACTGCCCTTACGTTACGCTATATCTATTGAGTGGCTTTATGGCGTTCGGTAGCATTCTAATGCCTCCAATTGATCGGGCACCGCCAACAGGTGCAATAATTGCTGATTGGTCCTGCGATAAGCCAGGCGGTTGGGATTAAAGCCCCTTTATCCGCCTTTATCAAGGTGGGCTTTTTTGGAATGCCAAAGTCGAGAAACTGTAAAAGTTTATGGGAATGGTAGTTGTACCGAAAAAAAAAATATATATATATTGGGTCCACAAAATAGTTATATGTGTGTGTGGGGGCACTTGACTGTGAAGCGATCTTTAAACAACTGATAAAAAGTGATCAAATTGTTTACGGACCTGAAGTGCGAGCTGTTATATGGCTGAGTACTTGAACGGGATCAGTTGGCTTTGCCGCAAGTTATACAGAATATTATATATATGCATTTAAGATAAAAGAATTAATAAGTTTTTCTGGTACAACAACAACAACAACAACAAAAGTGATCACTAAAGACACTTTTTGGATGCCCTCTGATAAGATACAATTTGATCTCCAGTGGTATGCGGTATGGAAACATCTTTTAATTACAGAATCTATCACTGGGGAGATCTCTGCCACGACAGGCCAACAGTTCCAATCAGGGAACACAAAGCACAGTGCCATTTATCAGTCTACTCCGCATATGTGCCCCGTCATCGAAATGGTTTCGTGTCTGCCCGGAGCAGTCGAAGATAAGTCTGTGGTGACGTTGCCGGGAGGAACGAAAGTCATCCTTGGCCGATTGGCAGGTGTAAATAAAGTGCCGGGATAGTACGGATAGTACGGATAGTACGGTTCGGACGTCAGCTGATAAATAGGGTTTTTGATTCACGGCCATTCTCACCGATAATTGCGTTGCGGTTTCAATGGATTATGCAAATGCCTGCAGGGGTCACGGGGGTTTTTTCGCATACACTTGTAGAAACCCGTTTTTAAATCGTGTTAGCTATTAGCGTCCAACGAAAATAGCCAGCAAATCAATCCCCTAATTGTCGAATCCAAAGGCAAATGCTCTACGGGTACCCCATAAATTCTTTCAGAAGTGTTATTCCAAAATGTAATCGCGTCATATCCATAAAACAGAGCTGAATGAACGCTCTCAAAGAATTTGCGTGCTTTTTCTTTGGCCCTCATAAACTTCATTCCAGTTATGGCGGGCCATATCTTAGCCATGTACTATATCTTATGGGGCGTCGTAAAGCGTGGCAATTAAGCGCTAAACCGCTAATTGCCGACATTTGACAAGATTGATAAACGGTGAACCCATCTAAAGAATGGACTTGCGCCCAACTCTGGATATATGACGCATTTGAGGTCCTAAGACTAGTGGCACTTGCGGAAACGGCAATCTTTCCACCACCCAAAAACGATATCGTATAGAGCAATTTAGATCACATAGTTGAACCACAAATCAATACTCTTAATTACCTAATAGTATCGTGCGAAGAAGCCTTCAATTACACTGCTAATAGTCATATTTGCTGATTTATCTTATCTGTCACGATCTTGGTGCTTAACCAATACTAGAAATTTACTGACTTGCGAAAACCGAATGTGCCAACTAAATTTATGGGTAAAGCAGGTAAAAAGTCTATGTTTCAATTCTTCTTTTTTTCACACCTTTGTATGTACGTCAAATGCTTTATGTGACAAAATAATGTGTTTTACTTCGTTGTTGCTGGCGTGCATTTATATTTACACAAGTGAAATAATGATAATTTATCGGTTCTGTGACGATGTTTCCTACGCAAAAACGTGTAAAATGTTTGCAATTTTATGACTGGCGGAACTAAAAATGATTGAATTACAAACGAAAAGGAAAAATAATTTCTCTATTTATCTACCTTTAATGTATAATTTGGCCCGCTTTGTATTGTGATTAAATAGTGTTTTCGACTCGCTTGATATTTGTACAAGTGAAATGTCACAGTTTGTGAGTTGGTCGATTTTAATTGCAGCTAGCATATAAAATCAATATAGGGTATGCCATAAATGACATATAGTTTTACTTTGAACTTTGATATTGAAAAGTCTGTATGTAGTTTATTGATGCAGAGATTAAGATAATTAAAAATTGTGTAATGCATTTGTTAAAATTCAGCTGGCATATAATATCTATATAGGCTAAGCAATAGATTGTATAGAGTATTATTTTGTTCACTCTAACATTGCTATTTTTATAAATTTAGAGATTAAGATTGTTATACATTGTTTTTTGCATATGTTGAAATTAAAAATGACTAGTTATTTGAAACTTAACACACTGGTCGACGTTTAGGAGGTCTTAATTATATTTTTTTTCTGTAAGATCTGTGTGAACATAACTCCTAGTGGTTCGAATTACAGAAGTTCGACAGTAATCGGTATTGTATCTCCCGTTGTTTGTCACCATTCTTACCTCATTTTACGTGATTGGCACAGCGATTTGTATATATTTACAAGGAGGTAATATTTATGAGCGAAACCGTCAAAAGTTAAAAGCCTTGGCCAAAAAACACCGAAACACAGAAAAACAAAGTTTCAAAAGCACGGAAAAAAATATTAACAACAGATGAAGAAGTGATCGGCGATTTTTGAGGCCAATAAAGTTCCGTTCGATTCCAGCAGCTCCCGCCTGCGAGCACCACTTGCGATCGACTGATGGTGCTAATCCGACCGAGCTCCAGCACATCGGCTCTCTTTCGATGCTAACTGTATTCCCTGCACACGACCCATCGAAAGAGCGAAAGAGATAGCGCTGGAGCGGAGGAGCATGTGGAGCTGCGGAGCGTGACCAAGAGCGGGAGAGGGAGAGCGCAAGTGAGCGAGTGAGCCCGAGCGAGCGGTCGGCTTTGAGCTTGGCCGCCAAAGCTCGGGCGGCAAGGTAGCGACCCTGACGCATTGGAAAACGGCTGGAACTCGAAAAAAATATCACCGATTCGCAAATATCGTATCGATTTTATAGGCCACATTCGATATGTCTACCGAAATACCACAAAAAACAGACAGAAAGCCAGCTTCGAAGTTTACATATATACCTTGCAGGTATTACAAAAATTAAATATTATTTAAATATATTTTTATTCGTTTCTAGTCGTCCGCAATGCTGATCAATAATATTTATATTTTTTAGGGTCGGAAATATCTCCTTTAGTACAAGCTTTTGACTTAAAATATAATGCCCTATGGCTTCAAAATTCAACCAACATTTTGACAGAAAAACTTTTGTATAACTTAACTTATAATTTATTTTATATCGATAGTAAATACAATCCGTTATTTTTTAAATATTAATATATTAAACCAATAAAATGTCTATTTGTTATATCATTGATGTTATTGATTAAATCAATGAAATTCATCGAAACTAATTATTTTGATCTAATTTTTCTGGCAAACCTCGCTGAATCAAATATTAAAATTGATCTGTGACTTAAATGTTGAGATCAATTTCAATCTTTGCTAATGTTTCGTTTTCTTTTATTCCTGAAGTTAAAAATATTATTAAGTGCCTTGTGGTTAATTTAGTAATTTTAATTTAGTGCTCCGCATTTCACGGAGCATCTATAAAACTATATTTATATTTTTATACATTTTTTGGAATTGTGTTGTTAAACCCTAATTATGCCAATACATAAAAACTGCAATGTGACTGACTAAGGATGAAAATATAGCGAGATAATCCAAATGCTAATTAAGATAAATAACTAAATTAATATCAAATTTTCTTCGCTCTTCAAAAGCTCAAGGCATCATCATAAGTTCAATAATCATAAATCGGGGTCAGCAAACAGCAAATTCAGAACATAATAAAAGGGTAGATGTGGTTAGTTTTTCCCTCACAGATTATTTATTTGCCCGATTTATAAGTTACAGGTTTTCAGAGAACTTACGTTACGTACCACGATTACCTTTAATCATGGAATATTATTTCTACTATTACTAGACTACGCCCACGCATTTGAAAACTTTCAATTTAGCTGTAATTGGCCGAAGTAAATTGAGTGTGACAATTCAACGCTAGAATGATTGAGTGTTGACTAGAGCTAAGTCTCCTTATCTTGATTCCGTTTCTCGTAGTAAACCTATACCTTACAATTTATCTATTTTTTAAGCTATACCTTTTAAAAGTCTTTTTGTGGTTCTCAGAAGCAAGCGTTGGTTCTGTTGGCTGTGTCGTCCGATCGATTCTGGACCAGATTAGCGCCAGCGCTCTGACATCGCCGACGCCTGCATGATGGTCCTGTGGAGCAGCTGCGGCAGCAGCGGAGGCTTCGCGATGTTGGTGGAGCTGTTCCCGTTCCCCTGGACACGATGGGAGTGCTGGGAGCAGCGCTGGAAGCTGGGCAGCGGCGCCTTCTTCTCGTGGGCCAACTCCGTGAAGGCCAGCTTGCGCCGCTGCTGCGGCGGGATCTTCTTGCAGTGGCACAGCTGATGGATGTGGAGCGTGCGCTCCAGATCGAACTTGCGGTCGCAGAACTTGCACAGATTGCCGGCGGTCAGGGTGGTGCTGCTGTCCCGCTGGCGCCGTCCCCGGAAGCGGACCTTGAAGTCGTCGTCGTGGGTGTGCCGATGGGCTCCCAACAGCGACCGGATGTGGAACTTGGCCCCGCAGACGCCGCACGAGTAGCTGGGCAGCTGGTGATGGTCATGGGCGTAGCTGCTCAGCGGCTTCAGCTGCAGCCGCCCGAGCTCCCCATCCTGACCCTCCTTGGCCTCCTCCAGGAGCTGGTCGGGCCTTGTCGTCCCGCTGGAGGTTCGCTGGGCGGCCAGCAGGGCGGCCATCTCTGCCGCCTCGGCCACGTAATCCCGGGGCGTAAGGCCATTGCGCCGTGGAGACTCCAGGTACACTGTTCAAAAATAATAGTTTCAGGTGAGTGTTCAAACGCAAGCTTAGTTTAAATAAAAGAATTGAATCCCTTTTTTCTAAAACTTCCTGGCTTAATATAAAGCGACTATTAACACTATTAATATATCTATCTATTAAACAATTGTAACTAAGCTAAATTTCTACATACCTATTACAAGATTAGTTCCAATACCCTCAATATGTCATTTGATATTGCATAAATTCAGACCGTTACTATTTAAATGCTAAATAAAAACCTTATATTTTAGAGCTACTATTTAAAATGTCTAAATCCTAAAATATTACATTTACATTATATACTCTTCAACATTTCTTATGATATTGTTTAAATTCAGACGTGTTCGTGAAAACTGCTATCTTATGCTATCTAATGGCCCCATATTTCATAGGCATATAATGGAGTATGAAGTGTTACTATCAGATGAACCTGTATCTAGTAAGGGATCACTATACCAAATTTAGTGGCCATAGCTTTGCTAATTCCCAAGATCACATAGTACACTACCATCCAAACCCCGTGGACGTTACCATTGTATCCTCCGCGTGTCCGCTTCTCGTACTTGTCTGTTTTCTCGTGAAAGCTCGTTTCCTCGTCGACCGTTGGCTTGGGTGGCTTGGGAGGCACCGGGGGCTTCTTGGAGTGCTTGCGTCGGTGGACTACATGGCCACCATGAATTGCATGCCCGGCTGTTCCGCCGACCCCTGCTCCGCCCACCCCCACTCCGCCCGCACTCCGCTTTCCCGGACGGGAGGGGGCGTTGGCCCGGTTCGACTCGGACAGGTAGATCAGCTTGCGCTCCACCGCCTTGCGGGCGTTCTCCACCTCCGCCTCCGCAAAGTCCTGCGGCTGAGTCCTGGAACGGGCGTGGACGTGGGCGTGGGTGTGGGCGTGGCGCTTGCCACGCTTCACTTTTGTGGCCTTTTGGGACTTGTTCATCTCGCGTGTATGTGTTTTGATTTGTAGCTTCAGCTCGATATCAGTTGGTGTGTAACAAATTCTGAATTGGAATGTTAGAATCCCCGAATGAAGTTAGTTACAAGGTGTGCTGGGAATGTGTGATGCCCCAGAAATTAGTTCTTACTTTTAAACAAAAAAGGTGTAATATTTATTGATAAATATTAATAGGATTATTCAAAAGCATTAAATAAAATTATTTCTTTCTTTCTATTCGACTTGCTTATATATATTAACAGGAGTAATTAAAGTATTAAATAAAATGGTTTATTAAAATGGAAAATATTATTTTTGAAACTTTTTAAAGCCAACAGTCGACTTTCAAAAAAGCAATTTATCGATAGTAAAAGCGATTTTGTTTCTCTTAAAAATGTATTTATATATATAATATTTGCCGAAAACATTTATGATTAAGGAAATATCTTTAAGATTATTTAAAACAATTAGAAAATAACATTTCATTCAGGTGCTCTACACCAATATTTAATAAAAAGTTTTTGACGAAATACAACAGTTCAGAATGGGAATAGTTTTGGACGAAATACAACTGTTTGGAATGGGAATAATAAGAAATAATAAAAAAAAATTTTAAAAGTAAAATAAAAATCTTTTTAATTTTAATGGGAACCGTTTGACACATTACCCAAGTTTAGTTCCATGGTTTGAGTCCACGGTTCGTGGTATTTTCCTATTTGCTTTTGACGGTCACACCGACCACCGCGTGCAGTGAACCTTTTTTTCTGCCAGCGCAGAAAAAGCAGCTAAAAGCTGAAAAAAACAGCACAAGTCGCCGTGTCGAGACGATTGAAACGCGCGCCCGCCTTTTGAGAGGATTGTCAACCGTTTGCCGTTTTTATTTTTGGCCCCGAATCCAGAATATGAGTGATACGCGTGAGCAGATTCTGGAGCAAATCAAAGTGCAAGGCGATCTCGTCCGTCAATTGAAAACAGCGAAGGAGTCGAAGGAGAAGGTCAGTTTTAAGTTCCACTTCCAGTCGCCCCTTCCATTCGCCCCCCTTTCCAGTGCCATCCCCCTTTATGTGTGTACAATGGAATAAGTGAAAGAATAATTGTTGCTGTAATTTCTGGAGATGCTTTCGTCATCAAATCAAAAATCAATCCCATATTTCATCAGATTCAATAAACACACTCATGCTGCGCTGGCATTTGGATTTGTTCAGTTTTTGTTTGTTTTTCCTGTGTAATTAGATTGCATGCAACAACAGAGGAGTAAAAGAAAGAAGTTAAAAGAGCGCGCAGACTTTCACATTTACATTTGCACGTTCGTGCCACTCTGTTGTTATTGTTGTCTTGCTCTGGCCAACGCAAAGGGCACAGCTTCATTTTTGCGCTTTTGTGCGTAAGTGTTCTACGTAGTGATGCCAACAATCGATTTTTAAATATGGCTAAATTAAAAATTACCAAACTTTAACTTCAACTTTGTGTAAACGATATAAAACTAATTAAAAAGTATTGTTTCAAGTCTTGTTTTCTTAAGTCTATGCATATTTACTCCATAATTATCTTATCTGAAAATCCTGTGTTATTTTGTTGGGTTTAAAAAAAAACATACCTGAGAATGTTGTTTCTGAAATACCTTTTATAGTTCTTGTTTCAATACTGTATTTATTAACGATGCATTCAAGCATGGTAGAGTCTGTCAATAACAAAATTAAGCTCCTAAATAGCTGACTTGGCAACACTGTTTGTGTGTTCTATGACCGACTGACTGACTAAGCAAAAGACTGGTCAAACAGGAGGCATGTACAAAAGGCACATGGTGGTTATAGCGATTATATCAAAAACCTGCTAGACCACATCCGATCCGAGATATAATAACTGCAACATGTGATTTAGGCTATAAGGAATTCGCAGCTTGCAGGGTTGCCACCACTTGCAACTTTGAGTTTCCGTAGTATTCTGTTTTATTTATTTATTATTTTTTTTATTGATCCGCACCAAATTGAGATCTGTTTTATTTTTAAATTTCCATACTTATTTAAATCATAGAAATCCTTTCTACTTTATTTTTTGTTTATGATGCAATGGAATTTATAGTAATTTTAAAACCAATTTTTAAGAAAAGTATGCAACATTTTTAATACGAAAATGTTCTTAATTGTTTTAAATAAAGAAGTGTGTTTAATCATTAAATGTACCCAATTTTGGAATTGTAATTGGTGGAAACGATTGTGTGAGTGCGTTTTAATGACTACCAAGATCAGCTGTCTAATGAAACTCTATCTGTGTGCGTGTGTGTGTGAGAGAGTGTCCTTGAATTCTTGAGCTTCCAGCTTTAATTAAATCGCGTCACTTTCCTGTTGTTTGCGTTTCAAGTGCCAAAAAAAAGTGTTAAAACTTGTTTCCATAACGAGAAACATCAAAAATTCAGCGCTGACGGTCAATGGAACGCAATATTGAATTGTTATTATTATTTGTGGCTTCAGTTGCACAAATACACACACACTGACACACTTCATTTCTTCTCACCAACACAAACTAGATGTATAATAAGCAAGAATTATTGTTGTTGTTGTTTAATTAGGTTTGAAAAGTTGCAAAAGAAAGTTGTTGCGAAAAGAAAATTAGCAAACAAAAAAAATCACATGTTGCGTTCAATTGGCCGCCAGTGGCGCTGTAGTGCTGCGTTTCAGTGTGCAACGTTCCAGACGGCGCCCTCTGGCGGCGGGCGTGCCAACTCTTCCGGCGTTCCAGCCCAACAACAACAACAGCCACAAAAACAACAACAAGCACAAGAACAACAACAACAACAACATGAGCAACTGCCGCAGGTTAGCCACTAAGCATATTAGCATGACCTCTTACCCCATTGTAAACTGTGCCCCCAATCCTCTATTGCAGATCGATGAGGAGGTCGCCCGCTTGCTGGCCTTGAAGGCCAAATTGGGTGGGGATGCCGCTCCCGCCAATCAGAAGTTCACTCTCAAGACACCGAAAGGCACCAGGGATTATGGACCCCAGCAGATGACCTTGCGCCAGGGTGTCCTGGACAAGATCATCCAGGTGTTCAAGCGCCACGGCGGCGAGGCAATCGATACGCCCGTCTTTGAGTTGAAGGTGAGTTTATAATGGGTTTTATTGGATTGGATGGGCGGGCAAGTAGATTCAAAGTAGGTTATGTATGGTTCCTTACGTAGATTATGTAATTAAATAACCGGAATAACAAATAATAGAAAAGGATCCTGAAACAATGTTATTGGTTATACTACAAGTATTGCCAGGAAATCTAAATTTTGGATTAAATTAAGAGTAAATACATTTGTACATGTATGTGTATTGATATGGTATTTAAATGTTTATTAATAGAAATGCGATAGCACCAAGCTATGCTCAACTTAGGTGATAATTCAAGTACCTTGAATAAGTATAAGTACACAGATTTGTCTTCCTAAAACAAAGAGATTCGCAGACTAACTAATCATTCACTAATTTAAGAAAATATAAATTCCTACTTTTACGGCAATACTATTCTGATAATCACCAAAGTAATAACAAAGTTTACGACTCCCGTGTTTAACATATTTTTTTTTAGATCTTGTTTTATTTTTCCAAATACGATCTCATCAAACAAAAGAAATGCTAAGAATAAAAACAAGTTTATTAACTGGTTATGTCCAAGTATTGCCTAGTTTTTGAGAGAATTAAATGTCTAACAGTATAGTAAAGCTAAGGTCAAAAGGTTTTGTATTAAGAAAGTCCTAAGGTTCTGCCTCGAATCCATATATCTATTGACAATATACTAAGTACCCTGACTAATTCCCATTAATCCATTGCAACAGGAAGTGCTAACGGGCAAGTACGGCGAGGACTCAAAACTGATCTACGACCTGAAGGACCAGGGCGGGGAGATCCTCTCGATGAGGTATGACTTGACCGTACCGCTGGCCCGTTACCTCGCGATGAACAAGATCTCGAGCATCAAGCGCTACCACATCGCCAAGGTGTACCGCCGCGACAACCCGGCAATGACAAAGGGCCGCTATCGGGAGTTCTACCAGTGCGACTTCGACATCGCTGGCACCTACGATCCCATGCTGGCGGATGCCGAGTGCGTCAAGATCGTGGCGGAGATTCTGGACACCCTGGACATCGGGGACTATGTGATAAAGCTAAATCACCGCCAGCTGTTGGACGGCATGTTCCAAGCGTGTGGAGTGCCGGCGGAAAGTTTCCGCACCATCTGCTCGGCGGTGGATAAGTTGGACAAGGTGGGTGCCATTGCTGGAAAATTTTCTTCGTAGCCTGTATAATATTAATATATCTGTTTTTTCAGTCCCCTTGGGCGGATGTGCGCAAGGAGATGGTTACGGAGAAGGGCCTGGACGAAGTGGCGGCGGATCGAATTGGCGAGTACGTGCGACTAAGTGGCGGCGCCGAGCTGGTGGAACAGCTGCTGGCCGACGAGAAGCTCAAGGCTGTGCCCAATGCGGTGAAGGGTCTGGAAGGCATGCAGCTGCTCCTCAAGTACTGCTCGATCTTTGGCCTGGATAAGCGGGTTAGCTTCGATTTGAGTCTGGCCCGTGGCCTGGACTACTACACCGGTGTGATCTACGAAGGTGTGCTCAAGGGGGAGTCCGCAGCCGTGGGATCTCCGGCGAAGACATCGCAGCAGAACGGAGAGCAGGCGAACGAGCCGGCCACCGTGGGATCCGTGGCTGGAGGCGGTCGCTACGATAATCTCGTGGGCATGTTTGATCCGCGGGGCAAGGCAGTGCCTTGCGTGGGCGTCTCCATTGGCGTGGAGCGCATCTTCTCGGTTCTGGAGGCACGGGCGGCTGCCAGCGGCCTGAAGCTGCGCACCAGCGACGTGGAGGTGTACGTGGCCTCAGCCCACAAGGGGCTACATGAGCAGCGACTGAAGGTTCTGAACCAACTGTGGGACGCGGGCGTAAAGGTGGGTTCGACCTCGATCTTTGAGTATTTACGCTAACACTCCACACTTCTCCCTCATCACAGGCGGAGCACTCTTACAAACTGAACCCCAAGCTGCTGGGCCAGCTTCAGCACTGCGAGGAGCACCAGATTCCACTGGTAGTGGTCCTCGGGGACGCGGAGCTGGCACAGGGATTGGTGAAGCTGCGTGAGGTGACCACGCGGCAGGAGACCAACGTCAAGCTGGAGGATCTGGCCGCCGAGATCCGGCGACGCCAGCAGGCCGCCTAGGCTGCTTTTTTTTTATGACACTGATATTAGCAACAGATAACGCTCCCGCTCCTAATTTATGAACCATCCAGCATCGAAGTATATATTTTTTTTCCTATTTGTACGTTTTGTATTTTTGGTGTCCTGCCGGAGGCGCCGCGTGCTACTATGCTTAGGTCCACAGTGTAACCATAGGAATCATACCAAAATGAATGCTAAAAAGAAACAAATAAACGCTAAAGCGACTCGCATTTAAGCCGGAAATTGTTGTTTTTCTAGGGCTCATACTTTTGAGAATCTGTTTACTATAACTCTATGCTTGGAATATTGCAGAGTATAAGTAGTTATTTATTGAGAGATAAATGTGTGCCTGAAAGTATACCTTGAAATTACCCATTCGATGCCATATTGCTTTATACTTTCAGGCATTTGCACTATTCTTTATGACCATACAAACATTGATTTGAAATTATGAACTGGTGACCCAAAAAATACTTTATACTTTTGGGCTTTCCTTTTTTTAACCCACAATGATTTCCAATACATTCTAGTCTTAAGATGTATATAGCTAATATCCTATCAAAAACTCTAATGGCCGTCTGATCTCTTGCAGAACTTTGAGGCGGAGTACCAACCCACCGGTCAAGATCGGCGTCAGCATAGGGATCGGGAGGCGGAGGAGCAGCGCCGGGGAGCAGCGTGCGGGGCCGTCTGAAGCGGTGGCCAGCATGCCGGAGACGCTGCCCGCGACTGCGACTGCGACGGTGACGGCGTCGAGCCTCGACTGCACCGTGGCGGTGCTCAAGGTGCCCACGCCCACCCTACAGCTGCCGGAGGTGTGCAATCTGCAGAGCCTGGGCCTCATCATGGAGCCCAACAACATTAACCTCGAGCTGAACCCCGCCGCCCTTGTCCCGCCCGCCCTGGAGCCAGTGGGATTCAAGGTAAGTGGAAAGATTTTACTTGAAATTTGGGTCACAAGGAATGACGGCGATAGCGGAGTTAGGGATCACCACCGGCGGCCCTTGCTTTGGGTGATCAGGTACATGGGTCGAGCGGTGCCCGACTTCTCCGATTCGAGCGGGTTGATCATGCGGCTGGAGCTGGGGACCTTCCTCGGCTGCTGCTCCGTTTCCGTCTTCAGTGCAGAGGTTTCCGGCGGCATCTTCACTACCATGCCACCCTCCTCGCGCACCTGTTCCGCTTGATTGTCTAATATTAGCTCCTCCTCCGTTTTCATTATCCATTTGATTGCCAGCATCAGGCGGTCCAACAGGAGCACCATTGGCTCATCGATAGTGGGGCCCAAAATCAGGGGTGCGAATTTATCCGGATCCACGTAGGGCCCGCCGGAAAGTGGAGGTTCCTCCTGGTCGGTGGAGAAAAACTGAACGATGGAACGTAGGAAACAGCGCAGAGCACAGCGGAATTGTTCCACGGAGTTAGGAGAATCCTTTTTAACTTCCTGAACGCAGGGCTTAGGAATCCCGTGGGCACTGGTGAACGGATTCCGGCTTAGCCAGTCCACATCCGCGTCGTCGCTGTCCTCTGATATCCAGCTGTAGTTGCAATATGATCTGTTTTTATTGTCCCGAAGTTGGCGCAGTTTCCCCAGTTCTTCGAGGTACTGCATCAAATTGTCCTGGTTTTTAACCAATCTGGAGAACAGCACCAACTGTTGATCCAGCCGCTTCAGATGATCAATTTCGCTAAGAGGTTTTTCCTCCTCCGGCTGGGACTCCTCTATTGGCTTCACCTGGCTGGTCTTCTGGTGCTTATCGTGCTCCACTTGCCTCTCCTGGTAATCCACTTGGAGTTCTACTTGCGGTTCCCCTTGATGTTCTCCTAGGGGTTCTTCTTGGTGTTCCTCTTGCTTCTCCAGCATCTCTGTATTGTCATCGCTGGCCTCGATGCAGTCGTCCTTGGAGGCGAACGTTTTCCTGCTCGGAAATCTTTTAAAGTCCTGGTTGGTGCAAGAGGATTTAATGGGTTTGGGGTTCCAGTGGAGTAGCCTCACATAAGTTTTGCTCTTGTCCAAACAGGAGGACCTAGATTCTTCCATGAAGAGCTTGGGATCATAGGTGATGTTATGGCCGCCCGTGGCGCGTTCTTCTTTATTAGCGGTGACGGTCGAGGTGGGTTCATCGGTGTCCTCCATGAAATCATCCTCTGGAAAGCCGACCGCCACAGCCCGCCAAGATTTCCTACAGTTATGGCTGCACCTAATCCTTACGCCTTGCCTCACGGGATGATCGGTTCTTTCCGTGTGCGCAATCTTGGGAACCTCCTTTGCCAGAGACTTCTGCTCGTTATCCCTCAGCTCCTCCTCTTGTACCTTTTCCTCTCGGATTTTCACAACGCAACCATGCGGCTTGTCCTTCTCTCGGAACAGATGCCGCAGGGTCTTCTTCACATTACGCGGATTCAGAGCCTTCTGAGGATCCGAGGAGACATACAGTAGGTACTGACCAGCTGGATCCATGGCTGCAAAGCGATCATTGGAGGGATCCATGTCATCGACCGGCGCCTGGGCCGCCAGTGTCCTCAGGATCTCCGTGTTAAAGTACTTACTCATCTTGTGGTATTATATTATTGAGGTCTGGTAATTTCTGTTTACAAAAAGTTTTGAATGGGATTGACAAATGACAAAAACAATTTTTTTAAGAGTACTTGATAACTAGATAGCCCAGTTGTTTACACTTTTAGCCTTGTAAAAACTACCGAAATATGTTCAGAAATATCAAAAAATCATAATAGTTGGTTATCGAGATCACCAGTCAGATACTGGGCCAAAAATTGCAGGTCTTGGTAACTAAGCTTGATAATTAGGATCGGGGTCACCAAGCCATGTATGCCACATCCTTTATTTCCCTTTAAAATTGTATTATTTTTGTCTGATAACCATCCACATTTTCCCACTGTGTGCCGCTTTTGGCATCTCTTAATTTAATTATGCACAGCAGAGAAATGTCAAGCGGTTCGCGGCTGCTCATCGCCTCGTTTTTACACTCGAACTGAGTCCTGATTGAGGCTGTCCCCGCATTTCTCATGCTTCAGTGCGTGCAATTTGATGGCAAGGTGCCAGGGTGGGGGGGGTGGTGGGTGGTTGGTCTGTGGGCGGTGCGGCAGGGTGGGGGGGGGGTGGACGCTCCTCATTCAAATGACCCAACGCAGCGGAGGACTGATGCTGATTCTGACAGGCGCCGCCACAGAGATCTCTGCCGGCTAATACAGTTTTAATACGAAATTTCATTTCGTTTCAACGATTGTCCAACAATTTGTTGTTGCTGCTGTGTCTCTGGTGCTGCCGCTGACATGTCGCTGCGATGAATTTGAAGGTTGCCAGGGGTCGCACAGTGGGCTGGCATGGGTCAAATATCGAGCAAAAGTCACCGGTAGACGACCTTGCCCTTGAGCCAAAACCATATTAACCCTTAAATTTATGTTTAAATATATAATATATTTCGTATAAAACTATTTAATATTTTTGTAAATTTTTCATATTTATGTAAACCGATTGCTTTTACATTTTTAATTAATCGAAATGACTTGAACAATTTTACCAATGTTTTATTTTTATTGCTCTTCAATCTTTAGGTGTAATATATTTATGAGTTAAGTTAAAAAGTTAAGTTTTAAAAGTTCCCTCTAAAATACTTTTTAAGAATAAATACGCTCATTTATGATGGAAAAATTTCACATAAAAACCTATATCCATCTTGTTATTTTAATTAATACATTTTTGATATTCAATGTTTTTGGAATTACAAATAATTTGAAAAATATTTTTTTTATTTGTTCTACAAGGCAAATCTTTTAAGTGAGTGCGTTACTCATAATTTCCATTTTGTTTTATTATAAGGAAAGGTGGCAAAAAGTATGTTATCACGAAAGCTTTTTATTAAAAATTTTAGATTATTTGATATAAATAAATAATAGCCTTGATAAGGTGAGATACAAAAAAAAAAGAGTATCTAAAATTAAAAAAAAACTCATAGTAAGGTAAACTGTGTGATTTTGTACACATTTTTTTAAGAAGATGACTTCGGTCAAGTAATAAATTTTAATATATTTAACCAAGTAATGTTCCACTGTTCGGAAGGACTGCCGGTGGTGGTGGTGGTGGGATTGCAGTGGATTGTGTTGGGCTAGGATTTCGAGGTTTGCCCTTGGTAGTTCGGCCTGAACCCCGTGTGCATGTTTCGTGTGTGCAGTGATTTGTTGCAGGGGACTGGCGAGAGGGTGCACTTCAGAGGGCGACTGATATCATTCAATGCTTCTAATTTACGGATTAATGAAGGCGCAACTTTACATATGGAAATGCTCGCTGCGCCGCGGCGATCGTGGGAAGCGATTAGAGCGGTGCGGTGGTTTGGTTTAGATTGGTTCAGTTTGACTTGGTGGTGCGAAGAGAGGTCCCTTTTAAAATCGACCGTCGCATTGGCATTGATGGATTGCCCCATAAATTTGTGATTTGCTAAGCTCGACTGCCATTTTCCAGTCCAGTCGATCACAAAGTTAATGTCTATGAATATTTATGGGAGGTGTTTAATTTCGAATGTTTGTGGGAGTGTGGAAAAGTCAAACTACATACGTATTTCCCTCGGTCAGTTTGAGGTCAGATATTTAATGTATTTTGGCATTGGTCGAGATATAAATGTCTATTAATTCAGCTCAGTTTCGTTTTTAGGGCTTTTATCTCTAATATGTCGAAATCCTTTGGGAGTCCCCTTCCGCATCTTCCATATAGATGAAATCTATCTGCCATCTTCCTGCCGAACTAAGCTTCAATTTTCCAATTCACAGTTCAGCGCCTTGGCAATAAATTAACGCACACTTTTGTGAGGAATTATAAGGGGTACCAAATCATCAAAGAAATAGATAATACCCTTTGTAAAGCATTTTTTCACACACCTAACTATTCATAAGAGCTGAAACTAAAAGTCACCCAATTGTTTAATATAGAACGTTTTCTGACTTGGAGGTAACCCATTAAAAATCGTCGTATTTTATGTGTGGCCAATTATGGGTTTTGCAGGGAAGGATTGACACTACAGGGTGCTTTGGTCACATATCCTCTTCCTGACACAAAGTATCCTGCATGCGGGGCAGCCCGCGAACAAACACTAATAATATTAATAACGATTATCGCCCGATGAAAATGAATCTGGCTCGGAATCGGATTCAGAGTCATAAATACACGACGCTCACTCACTCACCTCATTCATCCTCATCCGTCCATTCATCGATAGTATCTCTGCTCCGGAGCGATCCGGCTGAGCCGGGGGAGAGATCCGGGGGGCAGAGCCACGCGACGGCAGTTGCTTATCGCGGGTGACCAGAGAATCGCCACGTGCGATTTCATTGCCAATTCCATTCATAGTTCGACCAGCTCATGTGTGCGAGTGAATGGGTGATGGGAATCCCCGAGGGCACATATTTAGAACTAACAAAATATCCGATATTTTAAATAAATAAATAAATTTCAAAGAGGGGTGTATAAAAATGTATTCACAATAAAATACTTTTTATTTATTAATTTAATACTAGAAACAAAGAAAAAAAGAAAATATTTTGGAGTAAACCTTTCAGCGATAAACAAAAAAAAGTCCTGCTGAATCTGATTAATTCGGATTAAATTTCGGGAAATTTCAAGTATAAACGTTTAAAACTTATCCTTATTAGTACTTAAGTTAATGGAAAGCTTAATAAAATTAGTTTAGTCTTATCATTATTTGTATTAAGCATTTGGGATACAGGAAACCTATCTATCTACAATTGTACACCAAGAGTGCAAGAGTTTGATTGGACTGGGGTGCTACTTTTCTGCCCTCGGCTGTGAGCAACCGGTAGCATGTTCTGGGAAATCGGCAGGGGATTGGAAGCGGGAACAAAGAAAGCGAGCGGGACCAGCAAATTTGCGTGCAATCGTTTGGCCTGCGTTTTTAATGACTTTTTCGAGTCGAGTTCGGGTTTTCGGGCTCGGGTTTTCCCTGCCCCCTCCTTTCCCCCAAGGCAATGCATTTAATTCGATTATGAGACGCGGAGTTCCTTGGCCGGGTATAATATTTTCGGTGGTGGCTTTGTGAAAAGTAATTGAAACTCTGGCTGGCTGTAAGTGGAAAGCAGCCGCCCCTGTCCATCTTCACGTGCGGCGGAGTACAACTAATGTGGGTGTTAACGGTGTGTTAAGTGATTTCGCCATTTTTTGTAGGATCGATCCGAACAATTCCAATTCCTTGACTTCGATGGCGACGACACCCGATAAGTATCGCGGTCTTTGGGCACCGAGCACTTGGCTGGCACACGCGTTTCGCACATATTTCAAGCGCTTTTCAGTGCGGGCTGAACTTTTCATTTCCGCTTTAAAATGGATAAAGGCAATTGCACAAATGTATCGACTTACAATGCATGCAGCCTTTATTGGGTGTATTGTATTGAGGGATTGAAAGAGCTGGATCAACTTTAAAGTATGATTCCCGTTTTAACCCCGGAAATTGGTATCCATAGTTCTTATTAGATACAGAGACATTTCTTTATGATTAGGGAAAATTTGTTGTTATATTTTCAGTATAAAATAATTTAAAATCGTAGTCCCCAAAAAATTTTCACTTCTTTTATAAAATATGAGCATGTGTTTTAAACTTTGATTCTAACTAATCGTAACATTTTGGTTTTTCTTAAATATCTGGTGTGTTGTATTATTATCCTAAAAAATTCATATAACACTGGAAACACAATGTCCAAAAATAGATTTTGTATTCCAAAGAGCTGGAGCAACTTTAAGATATGATTCCCCCTATTTAACAACGGAAATTGGTATTCATAGTTCTTATAAAAACAAGAGAAATTTTAAATAATTATACAAATAGTACAATAAAGTATAATTAAATATCGTAGACCTAAAAAATAATAAATCAACTTCTTTTATAAAATATGATTTAAAGATTAGTTGTTCAATTTTGGTATTTTCCTAAATGGTGTGCTCTATTATCATCCCGAAAAATCCTAATTACACTCGAAACATTATGGGCAGAATCGCACTTTATCGGGGTTATAAATATGGATTTTGTATATCCCATCTCGGGTGTCCCGGCACTCGTTAATGGGTTAATTTAAAGGTGCAATTTATCTCTGCTCACCAAATGTCGTCCCTTGTCGCCACTACCCCCTTTTTTTTTTAGGTCTTTCCGACAGCCGGCTAATGAAAACTAAAAACTTCAATTACCAAAAGAGCCAAATAATGCGTTTTTAAACCCAAAAATGTAAGAGTTAAGAGCGCCCAAGAAATTGTGATAGATGAGGGTTTGGCAATGTTTTTTACGGGCCACTTGTTCTGCTTTCTAAACAAAGAGTGACCAGGAAGGCGCAACAGCAACCGAAAGAAGATGGCAATAAATCAGGGCAAATAACACACAAGTACCAAAAGTACGGGGGCGCCATGAAAGGGTATTTCGCCCGAAATTTCCCAATGGGGTGATTATTTAAAATTGTGCAACGCATAAATAGAAGTCAAAGTTGGCAAAGAGGCAGCAGATGTGGGACTCGGGTCCGATATCTGTTGTTGGAGCGCTTGTAATTGTGTTTTTGGCTTATTGCCTTTGCCCGGAATTTGTACAATGGACAAACAAAACGGAGAGCAATCGATATATCCTTAATCAGCTAAAGATCCTTGGAGAAAGTTATGGGTTTCAAAATAGTTATGTTTTTATACCCTTGCAGAGGGAATTACAATTTTGGGTATTCGTATTTTTTACACTGATCAGTTAAAAAATCGTGACGGTTGAATGCTACACATATCTGTTATCTGTCAAAATCTGCTAAAATTTGCTTAATTTGTTATACCCTTGCAGAGGGTATTATAATTTTGGCCATAACTTTGGTGTTTGTAAGGTTAGGAAGTTGTGATTTTCTATGGGTTTTATTTTTAGCCAATCAATCCGACCTACCAAATTTCATAAGGATCGGATATTATATAGGCTTTAATATAATTAATTCTATGACAGTTACTGCCCGTTACTGTCCCTCCATTGCATTATAAACGAGGCTGAAAAGGGTAGATATGTCAAATTCAAAAGAAGTATGAGTTTTAAGAATGCATCATATGAATAATTTTGGAAAATATATAATTACTTCTAATTTTCCGATTGGGGGAGTCCAAATTTAAGCCGATTCCAAAGTGGCATACCTCTAAAGACTTGTGATTCGATTCTCTAAAAATCTGCATTCAAAATTTTCAATTTAACGTTGATCAAATTTTTGACCCATTTTCATGTCAGTTATTTCTAATTTTCGGATGACTTGTTTAACGTTGACCCAAAATTGGACTTCGAGAATCCATAACTTTACCAAATTTAAGCCGATTCCAAAGTGGCCTACCTCTAAAGACTTGTGATTCGATTCTCTAAAAATCTGCATTCAAAATTTTCAATTTAACGTTGATCGAATTTTTGACCCATTTTCATGTCAGTTATTTCTAATTTTCCGATGACTTGTTTAACGTTGACCCAAAATTGGACTTCGAGAATCCATAACTTTACCAAATTTAATCCGGTTCCAAAGTGGCATACCTCTAAAGACTTGTGATTCGATCCTCTAAAAATCTGCATTCAAAATTTTCAATTTAACGTTGATCAAATTTTTGACCCATTTTCATGTCAGTTATTTCTAATTTTCCGATGACTTGTTTAACGTTGACCCAAAATTGGACTTCGAGAATCCATAACTTTACCAAATTGAAGCCGATTCCAAAGTTGCATACCTCTAAAGACTTGTGATTCGATCCTCTAAAAATCTGCATTCAAAATTTTCAATTTAACGTTGATCATATTTTTGGCCCATTTTCATGTCAGTTATTTCTAATTTTCCGATGACTTGTTTAACATTGACCCAAAATTGGACTTCGAGAGTCCATAACTTTATCAAATTTAAGCCGATTCCTAAGTGGCATACCTCTAAAGACTTGTTATTCGATCCTCTAAAAATCTGCATTCAAAATTTTCAATTTAACGTTGATCAAATTTTTGGCCCATTTTCATGTCAGTTATTTCTAATTTTCCGATGACTTGTTTAACGTTGACCCAAAATTGGACTTCGAGAGTCCATAACTTTATCAAATTTAAGCCGATTCCAAAGTGGCATACCTCTAAAGACTTGTGATTTGATTCTCTAAAAATCTGCATTCAAAATTTTCAATTTAACGTTGATCAAATTTTTGACCCATTTTCATGTCAGTTATTTCTAATTTTCCGATGACTTGTTTAACATTGACCCAAAATTGGACTTCGAGAGTCCATAACTTTATCAAATTTAAGCCGATTCCTAAGTGGCATACCTCTAAAGACTTGTGATTCGATCCTCTAAAAATCTGCATTCAAAATTTTCAATTTAACGTTGATCAAATTTTTGGCCCATTTTCATGTCAGTTATTTCTATATTTCCGACGACTTGTCAAAGAGTGACCCAAAATTGGACTTCGAGAGTCCATAACTTTACCAAAATTAAGCCGAATCCAAAGTGGCATACCTCTAAAGACTTGTGAGTCGATTCTCTAAAAATCTGCATTCAAAATTTTCAATTTACCGTTGATCAAATTTTTGATCCATTTCATTGTAGTTATTTCAAATTTTCCGATGACTTGTTGACCCAAAATTGGACTTCGAGAGTCCATAAAAATGTCAAAACTATTTTTTTAAGGATATATAGCTAACATATTTAAACAAACATTGTTTTGTTTATATGCATTTATCAAAATTTGAATCGGTTGTCCCCTTTTAAATATAACCAAATAATTTTTTTTTTCAAAATTTGTGGTTTTGAATAGGTGTGAAGTAAGCCCGTTATGTAAGGATTTACCTAAGATTCGGCCACACCGAAATTATTTAAGAGTTAAATCAGCTGACCTGGTTCGAAACCAAATGAAAAGGGTGGGAAAAATGATCAGCTGATTTGATATCGATAGCCAGTCCAAAGTGAATCAAAGTAAAGCTCGCAAAATGTCACAAGTTGAGCAAATGGTGCTGAAATCCAGTGTTCCCAGATCAGGGGTTTTCCCCCTAGATTTAGGGGTTTTTTGACGTACTAGGGGGAATTTTAGGGGGGAGCAATTTTTAGGGGGAAAGTTTAGGGGTTTTTTTTTGGAAATTGTATTACCCAAATGTTTTGAAAAAAACACAAGAATATGTGATTTCGTAAAATATTGCCACGCATAAAAACAACCTAAATATGGCAAAAATATCAAAAAATAATGGTCACGAGTACAAGTGTTACCAGCTGATGCTGGCGGTTTCTGGGAACCACTTGATATACATAATAAAAAAACGATGCAGGGACTGCTTGATTAAACTCACGGACGAATTGCAAGCACGATTTCCTAAGAACACAAAATGCCTTGAAAAAATATGTGTTTTTGCACCGAAAGCAGCATCCTTCTTCGAATAAGATTAACCTTACCAAACAATTGCAATAGCTTTGAACCATCCCCTCAAATGTATAAGCTATTCAATAGCGAGGAAGTGTACAAGACCAATTTCTCAAATGAAGTTCTCGAGGTGATCTCTTAAAATTCGATATCGTTTTCTTGTTTTATTGTATAAGTTCGAAATTAACTGATTTTTTTAATTTAAGCCTAGTATCCAGATCGACAAACGATTACGCTAGCGTAAAAACTTTAATCTTTCCAGTGTGACCAAAAGTTTGAGAGTTTATCAGATTTAAGCGTGCTACGGTCGTACTGTCAATCAGGTGGGTTTATTGACAAGCAGTTAAAATTAAAATATCGTATTTGCGGGAAAGAGCCTTTAAGGGATATTATCAACTACCTTGGGAAAACAAGTCTGCCGCTGTACAAAGAAATTAAAAAACAATACAATTTAAATTTAACAGTTGTTTTTTTTAATTTACTGATAATTATTTGCTAATTTAAAGTTCATAGCTGCACTTTTATTGTGTTTTTTCGTACATTCTGGACCTAAAAAACATTTTGCTCTGACAAGAGGCACCCCAGATAGTATTAATGTTATTTTGTCCTCACATGTAAACACATCGACTTTTGTGAGTTTTTTGAGTTTTTCCCTCCATTTCTTATAATGTTCAGTGAGAAGCGCACGCCAAAAGATTAAATTTTTTAATCTTTTCGCTAGGGTTCACGTTTCCGCAGACTGGCAACGCTATGGAATTTTTTGGTATTTTTTTCATCGATCAGGAGACCGACGTGAAAAAAAGGCCCGACGAAAAGTGAACGCCAGCTGTTTGCCTCTCGCTCTCTCTCATGACTGGCGTACAGTTTTCGTCGATCTGGATACTAGGCTTTAGGGGGAAAACTGGATTTTTTAGGGGGAAATATCGCCTGTTTGAGATTTTTTAGGGAGAAAGCAAAATTTTCATCTGGCAACACTGCTGAAATCCCCACCAGAAACCGGAGGAGGAGCAGGATCTCCCGAAGAAGCCGCGTCGGTGGCCGTGGCGGCGGATGCCAGCGAAACGGAGCGCCTGGTGAAGCTGGTGATGGCCATGGGCTATCCGGAGGGCGAGGTCCGCCTTTCGCTGGCCCGAAGCAACAACAACGTACAGCGGGCAGTACAGATTTTGGTCGAAGGAGAGGAAGAAAACGATGACGGCGAATCCCGGAAACGGCGTCGCAGTCGCCAGCGATTGAAGCACCTGCGCAGCTCCCTTTTGGGTAATCCCGTTCCCACGGACGAAGCCATCGTCCAGATGATGCGGGATCAGAGGATCGCACAGGCACTTGCGGAGATGATCAACGGGAGCAGCGTGGAGGCCATGCAACTGCTGCTCGAAGAGGAGGATGACGAAGGGCAGGAGGGCCAGGAGGATGAGCAAGTGAGTCAGGAGGAGCTGGGCAGCACCATGGACCAGTCATCCTCATCCGCCGATGGATCGCCGCCTAGCAACTAGGTGGAGAACATATCGTAGAGCCGCTTACTCCTCGAGTTATCCAAAAAAATGATGTTAAGTTTTTCAAGAATAGCAATTAATTTCGACCCAGAATTGTCACATTTAAAGTACTGTATCACAATATTTAAGGGTTCAGTCGATACACCTTAAAAAATACTAAGAAGTCAAACAATAATAATCACAAGCGTTAAAGCTTGAAGGTTTTTCTTTTCCTCACTAACCATTCTAACTATTATGTTTAAACTAATTTTTAAAGTGTTACAAATTTGAATCTCAAAAAATGTGTTGAAGTAACAATAATTAATATGCATTAAGAAATGCGATAATGTTAAAAATATATATAAATGTATCTCAGCATAAAGGGTTCATATTTTAATAATATCTTACGAGATTTTTAAAAATTGATTTAAAGATTTATGCTTATCAACGTCTTCAAAAACTGTTTGCTTTCATTTAAAAAATTATCTAATCAGCTAAAAAAAACTATTTGTTTGCTTATTTAAAATCCTCGAAATTTGTTTAAAATACCTCGAGTGTGAAGTAAAGATTAACTGAAATAAAAAGATTAAAAAAAAGAACTTTGTATGTAGATCTTTTGGCATCCTTATTATTATCCAAAAAGAGTATATGCAATTAGAGCTCCTCGAGGATGATATTGTCTGATGTATGTACTGGTCTCGCGAACTTATTTATTTATCCAGCAGCCATCAGGAGACATTAAATGCATTAGGGTTACGCAACCCCCCAGCCCCTTTGTTGTTGTTGTTTTGGCGGATGTGACTCCGGTCAAGGAGCGAAGGAAGCCGGAACTGAAGGCAACAGCAGCAACCCTGTGGCAAAAGCAGTGCGCAGCTTGTCAACCCTTTTCGCCTCGATGATTAATGATCGTTCTTTTTTGTGTGTGTGTGTTCCAGTGTTTTGTACTGATTTCAATTTACCGCTTTCGCTCAAAGTTCCTTGGAGTACATTGGGCCATAGTGCATCCCCTAGGTTTTTTTTTTGTCCAAAGGGGTAGGGGAATTCCGCAGTTGAAAAATTCTAATTAATTTTGACTTGCAACCGTTGACACTGTCAACCGCAGCCACGTAACCCACCCAGCGTTTATCGCGTTTGATCGGCGTTGCGGCGCACCGCAAACTACAGAAGGCGTCAACCCCTGGACGTCTGACGTCCGATTCTCGGTACTCCGGTACTGGGAACTGGGAACTCAGAACTCGGAACTCGAGGCGTAGGCGGCGCCGTCTCATTTATCAAGGGCAGGCAACTGTCGCCGCTTTTGGGTCCGCTTTGGGCTAAGATTGCGCGGGTTAAGTCAGATTGCACAGTGAAAAAGTTACAAAAAAATTACTGTGCTTCTGGTGTTCATTTTGATACCATTAAACGTTAATGGTGCTGATGGTGTTTTAGTATGAAATGAAAAATGCATTAGTATATTCGTACTGAGATCGATGAATTTATCTGTCATAACACAGATGAATAAGATCCTTAAATATTACTAATCTAGTATCTAATCTATTAGTATAAATACAACTACCCTTTGGGAGATTTCGCTTTAAAACCCGTATAAAATAATCCGACTTTTTGAAACTGCACATGAAATCATCAATCCAAACCGACAAATCTTAAAAAATAGGGACTTTAAAAAGTTTCGAATCTTTTCGACGTCTTCTTAAACTCTTAAAAGATTAACATAATCGGCTTGTTTTGGGCACTTACATTTCCAGTTTAATTATTTTCCAATACATGTATGTATTCTTCACCTGTTGAGGAAATTAAGAAAAGTCTATTGCTTCATTTTATCTCAGATTTTTAAAGAATGTATATTTCTACTTAGCCTTCCAAAGTGAAGAATTATGAAAAAAAACCAAAAACCTATTTCATCACGTTCGATAATACCCAATTCGATCGGGGTCTTTTTTCCCGTGCGGTTCAAGTTTTGTTCGGGTTCGCTGGACTTTAAAATGCAATTGTCACGGGCCGTAAATTAGACGTGGAAAAATCCGTAATTCGATACTGCGATGACGTCGCTGACAATGCCATGCAATCAGCCCTGGTCGTCCGCCCATTACCTTTACCGTTATGCCCGTACCGCGGCTTGTTAGCCTCGTTTGCATATTTGCGGGAGGGAGGGGCGAAGGGGCGGGGCTTTATCAATATGTTGACAACAAGCTGGCAATAATAATTGCAATAACAATTTGCAGCGAACCAAAGAAGCGTGCGAAATGTGTCAAAAGGGAGAGGAAGCGGGAAGGGTTACGATCCAGTAATTGCCTGCATACAAGAAGCAAAAACTGGTAACAACAACCCAAGACCTCGTTATTTATCGATGTTGCAGCGGTCGATCATTTAAATGGATTGTTAAAGTAATTTCCTATGCAAATGAGTGCGAAGATATGATGGGCAGACCCCTTCGATGACAAACGAAGACAGCCTGGGAAGCCTGGGAGCCCCTAATCCCCTGCAGAAGTGCCCGGCAATCGATAAACCGCATCCAAAAGTCCGAGTCCTGCCACAGGGTATATACATATGTATAAACATATGTATATACGACTATGTATGCAAATCGAACCGCAGCTCTGATTCAAGTGGAACCCGAGAGGGAGAAACGTTGAGCTGTGCTCACTTTTTATTTGCTCAAGCGCTTAATTGTGTAAAAAAGGACCTATGATAGTCCTGCGGCAGGAGCAGGACTCACATTCAGAAGGAGCAGCTGCCGAGGGCTGCCAATTAATAGATGGAAATGGATTTGCGTAAGAAATATGCGTTGCCATTTCCACTCCCGTTCTGCATTTCCATAGCCCAACAATGTAGAGCGAGCGAACCAGAGACAATTAGGCAATTATTTGCGCAAAGGATCAAAACCAAAACAAAAAGCCTTGCCACCCATTCACCACCCGTCCGCCACCCATCCACCCTCTGACCCTCTTCCTCCGTTTGCCGTTGTTTTGTGGGAAAGCGCTCAATGTGTCCATGGGTTCGGGTATGGAATTGCCTCTGCCCGTGTGTTCCAAATTCCGAAGGCAAGGAAGATGAGCAATGCCAACTGAGGTGACCAGATGGTTGCTGCTGATTTAGCATTTTTTTAGGTGAGATCTAGCTTTTTTTAAGATCATTAATTGATTTTCTGAAAATGGATTTTTATGTGCGATACATATTTCTATATGTCTTTTCTTTTATTCTCTATTAATCTGCAATAACATTTTTGTATGTTTGGGACCAGTTTTTAAAAAAATCTTTGGAAAACCATTTTATTTATTTACCTTACTAGAAAAACGCATTTCAATTCGTAATCTTTGTAGTATTATGATGTGATAAAGCCAGGTTTCGATGACCCCGAACCTATATTATTAAGCTCTGTATACAGGTGCCTTAGACCTGAATTTATGTGTATTTGGGGAATAGTTTGTTTTAAAATTGAAATAAAAAATAAAAAATTTGTGCGCAGTAAATAATGGAAAATGATTAAACTGATTCGTAGTTTATCTTAGTTTATTTAGGCTTTATTTAAGCTTTTTGGCTAATATGTACATAGGCATTTAAAAGCCATTCATTCCATTTTGGCCGCTTCTGGCTATTGGCTAGTGGACAACACTGACGGGAGCAGAGCTTAGGTGAAATTTTTGGGGTGGGGATGGAGTTGGGTTTCGTTTGGAGTTTGCTTGGGCCCGTTGCTTTTAATTGAACATGAGCAATTAGCGTGCAATTTGTTTCGCTCGCGAATGTGAACCAACGGTAAAATGGGGCAGCTCCCTGCCCCCTGTCCCCTGAACTCCAGAAGCCTCCTTCCCCACGTGTGCCACGTGTTTTTATACCCTTGCAGAGGGTATTATAATTTTGGTCAAAAGTGTGCAACGCAGTGAAGGAGACATCTCCGACCATATAAAGTATATATATTCTTGATCAGGATCACCTCCTGAGTTGATATAGCCATGTCCGTCTGTCCGTCTGTCCGTCTGTCCGTCTGTCTGTCCGTCTGTCTGTCCGTCTGTCTGTCCGTCTGTCTGTTTCTACGCAAACTAGTCGCTCAGTTTTAAAGCTATCGAATTGAAACTTTGCACACACCCTTCTTTCCTTTGCACGCAGTATATAAGTCGGAACGGCCGGGATCGGCCGACTATATCCTATAGCTGCCATATAACTGATTGATCGGAAATGCCATAACTTTCGTGTTTGTAAAGTTAGGAAGTTGGGACTTTCTATGGGTTTTAAATTTGGCCAATCAATCCGACCTACCAAATTTCATAAGGATCGGCCGACTATATCCTATAGCTGCCATATAACTGATTAATCCGAAATGCCATAACTTTGGTGTTTGTAAAGTTAGGAAGTTGGGATTTTCTATGGGTTGTATTTTTGGCCAATCAATCCGACGTTCCCAATTTCATATGGATCGGTCGACTATATCCTATAGCTGCGATATAACTGAACGATCAGAAATGCCATAACTTTGGTGTTTTTAAAGTTAGGAAGTTGGGATTTTTTATGGGTTCTATATTTGGCCAATCAATTTGACCTACCAAATTTTAAAAGGATCGGTCGACTATATTCTATAGCTGCCATATAACTGAACGATCGGAAATGCCATAACATTGGTGTTTTTTTTATACCCTTGCAGAGGGTATTATAATTTTGGTCAAAAGTGTGCAACGCAGTGAAGGAGACATCTCCGACCATATAAAGTATATATATTCTTGATCGGGATCACCTCCTGAGTTGATATAGCCATGTCCGTCTGTCCGTCTGTCCGTCTGTCTGTCCGTCTGTCTGTCCGTCTGTCTGTCCGTCTGTCTGTTTCTACGCAAACTAGTCGCTCAGTTTTAAAGCTATCGAATTGAAACTTTGCACACACCCTTCTTTCCTTTGCACGCAGTATATAAGTCGGAACGGCCGGGATCGGCCGACTATATCCTATAGCTGCCATATAACTGATTGATCGGAAATGCCATAACTTTCGTGTTTGTAAAGTTAGGAAGTTGGGACTTTCTATGGGTTTTAAATTTGGCCAATCAATCCGACCTACCAAATTTCATAAGGATCGGCCGACTATATCCTATAGCTGCCATATAACTGATTAATCCGAAATGCCATAACTTTGGTGTTTGTAAAGTTAGGAAGTTGGGATTTTCTATGGGTTGTATTTTTGGCCAATCAATCCGACGTTCCCAATTTTTTAAAGTTAGGAAGTTGGGATTTTTTATGGGTTCTATATTTGGCCAATCAATCTGACCTACCAAATTTTAAAAGGATCGGTCGACTATATTCTATAGCTGCCATATAACTGAACGATCGGAAATGCCATAACATTGGTGTTTTTTATACCCTTGCAGAGGGTATTATAATTTTGGTCAAAAGTGTGCAACGCAGTGAAGGAGACATCTCCGACCCTATAAAGTATATATATTCTTGATCAGGATCACCTCCTGAGTTGATATAGCCATGTCCGTCTGTCCGTCTGTCCGTCTGTCCGTCTGTCCGTCTGTCCGTCTGTCTGTCCGTCTGTCTGTTTCTACGCGAACTAGTCTCTCAGTTTTAAAGATATCGAACTGAAACTTTGCACACACCCTTCTTTCCTTTGCAC